CTTTTTTTTTTTTTTTTTTTTTTTTTTTTTTTTATTATAGGGAACCGTGATTTATATAATACACTTAGTTATAAGTATAGAATAAAATATTTTTCGGATAGTCTTCTTCTATATTATAGTTGTTATTCTAAGCGTGAATCGCTCCTTCTTTGACATTCTTGCCTGCTTGCTCTCTATTCATTTTAATTTGATGAGATAATCAAAGCTTGGGGTTCAGTTGAAGACACGTTAAAGGACTTAATTTATTTTTTGGTGTACACATGTCAGCATTTCTTTCTCTCACTCTCTTTCTTTCTTCAACTTAGTTCTTTCCATTGCCGACTTTCATGTTGCTTCTCTTCTTTGTTATTTTTTTTTTTTTGAGAAATAGTAGAAAATATATTAATATAAAAAGTTTAAGGAAGTATATAGGTCGATTTTTAGTTATAGAAATTAATATGTCATAACTTATTAAGTTATGATTCATAATCAGATAAGTTATGAAGAAATTTGTCAAGTTATGATTCATAGTCAGACAAGTTATGGACAAAAACCGTGAATTATGGATAATAACTTGTCAAGTTATGGTTCATAACCAGACAAATTATGGATGAAAACAGTAATTTGACCTATTTATTAATTTATGTAAACTATTAGCCTATTAATTTTAATTCATCTCAAGTCTTGACCTATTTTTCTCTTTCTTCCTTTTTTTTTAACGTTTTACTTTTCAATTTTACTTCTTCACGAATTTTCCAGTACGTATAAACATTTTTCATAAATATGTTTTTTAGTTTAGAACATTTGACTAATAAATACTATTCATTTGACTAGTAAATATTTTTTTTCTCTCTCTTCTCTTAATATTACTTTTCATACTATAAATCCTACTTTGACATGCTGCTTAAGTTGCTTAATTTGAAGATGGACTTTGATATATAGGTGCCTTTGTTCCCATCGAATTATTGTATAGGCAATTAAACAGATTTAATGAGAGAGATAGGGGGTGCAAAATAAAAATAAATATTAGTAGATATAATATATAGTATTTAGAAGACAAATGTTTGGATATAGTAGTACTGAACAGTACGATTAATAATATCCGGAGAAAAACTGTTACTTTTTTCTTTTTCTCTCTTTCGCCCCTCAAAGATGATATTATAACTTTCTGGGTAAACTAATCCAATAATATATTGTACATACAATGAACTTGAACAACGGAGCACAAACTTTTGCAGTACCATTGATTGTCAATCGGAACTCATAGTGTCTATTAGTTTTTTCTCCTCCTTTTTTTTTTTTTTGAGTAAATTTCCTTTTTCAATCATCCCTCAAGGCAAAAAGAAAATTTTTAAAAAAAATTAGAAAAGAACCACCCTGGGATTAAAACATGAATAAATGAACAAAACAACGTAGCACTAAAAACTCCATCCAAAGAAAAATGATCTCTCTCAAAATGAGAGGAGGGAAAAAGTTGCACAATTAGACTACTTTGTATAATTAGAAATAACATAAGTATAATTATCATTTTAATTCAGAAAAAAATAAGAAGAGGAGCATAATTACCATTTTTCATTGGGAAATTAATTATCATTTCATACCCTTGTGTCTTTGTTATAGTACAAAGAACTTTTGATATTATATAATTAAAATTTGAATTGGTAGTACAAACCCATGAGAAGTACATATTTGGTACACTGTATAAACACTTCGTATTATATTGTTTAATAATAATATAATGTTTGGTGACATTTATATATTATATAATTTAATACGAGATTCAAAATTAATACAATACGGAGTGTGATATTTAATATGAAAAAAAACTTATGTATTAAACGGTATTATACAATTTAACTTAAAATACTATATTAAAAACATATAAAATATTTCACAAATATCAAAGCTCGGGGTTGAATTTTGGGACCGACGTTGGGGTTGAGCTTAAGGATATGAGTGAAGTTGGGTTTATATTTTAAAAAATTACATTTTAACCTCTAAATTTTTAAAAATTATATTTTGACCCCTAAATTTTTTTAAAAAAATTATATTTTGATCCCTTAATTTTTATCAAATTATATTTTGACTCAACTTTTTTAAAATTATATTTTCTTCCCTCATTTTTTTGAAAATTACAATTTGACCCCTTTTTTTTTTTTTTTTTTTTGCAAAAAGAGTCTTATGTAGCAACTCTACTTTCTCCCTTGCTTCCCCCAAATGTTGGGTTCGAGTCGAGATTAGAGTCGAATAAGATTATGATTCGGCCTAAATTTTACCTTATTATAAACTAATACGTAAATAGATTATAATGATAAAATAATATAATGTTTAATAATACTACTGACCAAACACTGTATTGTGTAAAAAATATACAATATAATATAATACTATACGATACAATACAATATAATACAATACGGTGCACCAAACATGCCCTAACGACATGATATTTTAAGTGGCTGTTTACTAACGTAATTGTCTTTTCAATTAACTTACACACTGATCTCCAACCTCAAGGTTAAGCCATATACTATGGCACATATATAGTTCGATCGATTGAGCTGGCCACCCTCAAAATAAAAATATAGTTAAGAAAGTAAAATTGTCAGTTTATTTAGTATATATTATATAATAGAACTAGTGGACCATTTGTTAAAGATCATTTGAGATGTGACATTATATATATGACTACCTGCTAACTATTATTAGCTATAAAATTCATTTCCTTTTGTCATTTTATTTGTTAGCATCTTATCACATTTAATATAGATTCCGATATTAATTTATCTGAATGACATCAAGAGGATAGATTAAAGCCACAGGGTCAAACATTAGGGTCACTATCTATATGTCTTGAATCTAAGAAACTTAATTATCATCACAAAATTTACTTAAAAAATTATATATATGACGCTCAGAATTAAGTTAATTAAGTTTCTTATATATGGATTGTGACTTTCGAGTAGTGGGATTAGAAACTTGAGATGAGTTTAAATTTAATCAAGTGAAAAGAGAAGATATCAAATTAAAGAAGAGGAAAGAACATAATTTTTATAAGCGATCAAATAAATGAAGAGGAAAAGAGAAGAAGAGAAGGTCGGATCAGAGATAAGATCTGCCATTGAAGAGCTTTCTACGCTGGCCAAGCTTAAACCTAAGAATGATCATAATCCTGGTGCTGCCCAAATCCCAACCGTTCCCTTTCTATCTATCTGCGATTTGGTCATTCAAGTTCTTGGTTGGTTCGCTTATTATAATTATAACCATATATCTTCTACATATATTATTCTCTACTATATAGTAGTCTGATGTCTTACGTGTGTGTGTATATATATATGTATATATATGTATGTGTATACACTCACCGCTTCTTAGGTATCTGATTAGATTTGATATGCAGATAAGATAGGACCAACAATGACTGTGCTGAGAAAAGACATCCATCAAAACATTCAGGTAAACCATTATAAACATGAATGAGGAAAATTGTATATATAAGATTATACAATTCAATCACAAAGATGGATTGAGTACTTTTTGAAGATGAAGCGTTCAAGTATAATACACCAGAAATCATTGATCATATACTTGCTCAGAAAGGGCGGAAATTGTTGCTACGAGTTTTTGGGAAAGATCTTGTATTTTTGAGAAAGAAATTGAACAATTTCTAGGGAATAAAACATTAAAATCTTATGAAATTAGAGCTCGTTAAATGAAGGGTTCTAACATTAAAAAATCTTTAATTTTCTCTTACATTGCTTAGTTCTCGTTTTATGTAAAGCTTTCTACTTTTATACATACATATATATATATATATATATATATATATAATCATAGGAAGCTATATCATGCCATTTGTTCTTCTTCTTGATCATCGTTTTCTTGGTTCTTGTATGCGTGATTTATCTTTACCCAATATTCATGATAATTATGTTCTGAATATTATATATTTAGCATGTATATATATCGACTGATTTACCTTTTATAATTTTCATGCCTATACATGTTGTTTCATTATCATAGAGATTGGAGAAGGTTCTGGAATCCGATCCTTCACTATACTCAAACGCGGTTGAGATACTGAAGAAAGAGGAAAGTGAAGGAAATTCAAGAATGAGAACTAGCTGTAGTAGAGCCTTTGTATGGCTTACCAGGTACACACTTTCGTCAAGAATATTGATCCTTCACTTAATAAATGTTTTTGTTTTTTGTATAAATATATAATAAGATACAGCGTATAAGAGTGTAAAATAATTAATTATATTGTTTGTATTTTCTTTCTTTGTCTAAAGCCAATTAATTTCTCTTTTTTTCATGGGATATCTTTAATTCCAACTTTTGTGGTTTAACTCTGACTTCCCCATGTCTCGCTTAGTTTTCACCGTGAGATGATCTGAACAACATATAAACGTGCTGAATAATTTTATTTAGAAAATCATCGTGTTCTTTTTTCAAATATTGATCAGAAATATTGTTATATAATATGGGTCTTAGGAACTGTAAAAAAAAAATATATAATTAGTTATAAAAACAAGAATGATAATCAACATAATATTAATATTTAAATTCTTTTGATTTTAGTTCCAGGCTTTATTTGGTACGAGTAATAAAACTTTTAATTATTGTTAAGAGTTTTTATAATAGATGAACAATTTGAATATCATTAGTTGTCTACTTTATTATTATCCCTTGAGTTATTTGCTCTCCATTCATTAAAAAAACTTTAGTATGTACAGAGAAATGCACGTGCATATTCATTGTATCTCTCGCTAAAAAATATATTTAGTACCGTGTATGAGACATTTTGATGGATTAATTGTACTAATTATTTAATAAACCACTGTTATTCCCCCCAGATCACTGGATTTTACTGTGGCATTATTACAAAACTTAACAAAGGATTTTGGGCAGAACAATATGGAGAAAGCAGTGGAAGAGTCCTACAATATCACTTTGAAGTCGTGGCATGGGTGGATTTCATCAGCTGCTTTTAAAGTAATTAAAACTATCCCATTTTTGTTATTTTTATGCATCTTGACATTTAAAAGGCTAATTAATGCATTTGCTTTTGATTTTCAAAATTTGACCATTCTAAAAGTTTGTATCCAGAAAAGGTATATAATATTCCATTTGTATTCCAATTTTCCTTTTTTTTTTTTTTTAATGAAACTGAATATTGTAATTTTGTCTTAGCAAATTTTTATTTTTATTTTTTGTTGCTCTTATAGAAGATGCATATTAAAGATATATAATTCACACACATTAATTTACCCATATCGCGCTGCAGGTAGCCCTAAAACTATTGCCTGAAAAAAAAACTTTTGTTGGACTACTCTCGGCAAAACGTGAAAACTATGACACACTTGTAGAGGAAATTCAGACATTTATTTGCTTATTGGTTCCTTTTCTGGAAGAGATCCATTCTATTCTGGTATGCCCAAATATTGTTCATATTTGAATATTTCTGTGTCACACTACTTCTTGATAACATGGTATTTCGTTTAACATTATTATTTAATCTATATATAACATATTTTGCAGGAGTCATATCGACTGGATAGGATAAAGTCTTCCTAGAAGCCTAATCCCCTAACCATACGTGATTTTCCCTTAATTTGTGTGTGTTGTAATCATCAATAATTAATATTGCCCTAAGAACTTTCTGTATATATAGCAGAATTCATGGACGGGTGTTTTGGGGGTGTAGTTTTGTTAGAGAAAACGAGATAAGCTAGTAAGCTACTGTAATTATATTAAATTATGTGAGTTTCAAGTTTCATTTAATTAATTATTTGTATCAATTCTCTGGAATCAACGAAGACTTGACGTATAGTCGTTGTCGTTAACTATTAATCCTTGTCAATGTGTCGCTCATGTCACGTATTCTCGCGGCCTCACCAAACCCACAGAGCTATATATTACTATCTAATTATTGTTCATAACAGTATAAGTTAGTATCTGTGGTTGTATTAAAAATTTTAAAATTTCATTTGCATCGCTCGATCAATTGTTTCCCGACAATATCCGACAGCTTAATGAGAAGTGCAATTTTAATCTCTTTGTAGATAATGAGAACCAATCTGTTAAAGCAAGGATAAAGAGCGTTGATAGATTCTTAATTGACCTAGCGCTACGTGATACAAGATTTTGTTGGATCAAGCTAAGCATGAAATGAGGTGGTGGACTGTACAAGTCTCATTAAGTTTGGCATGACAGAAGCACGAGCACAACACGAGCACAAGTCAATCACAACAAGATTTGGAGATGGGTTTTTTATGAGGTATGTACAAGGAATGATGAAAGAAAGGAAGAAAAAAAAACTTTAGTCTTTTTTTTTTCTTTCTTTTGAGATTGAGGACATCTTTGCATTTTCACTATTAAAGAGATGCATGTGATGATCACATTTGAAATTCCATAAGAAAATTGACGGAATTTAACGAAAAAGTTTTAATTACCAATATTTAAAGAGTTGGGGGTTTGTTTTATAAAGATTAAAAAAATAGGGGCCATCCGTGGCGTGCTAATTACTCTAGAAAAAGAAAACTAAGGTGTACTTTTTTAATATTTAAAATATATAGGGTGCCAAAACATAAATAGACCAAACTTTATTATTTATTATTTTTATATATATCTGAACCCAAAACAAAATTTTAAAAGGTTATTTTTCGGTATGTTAAATTTTATGTCCGTCGATTTACATAGAATCGCGTAAAAAGAAAAAATACTCAGATAGACTGCAGCTTCAGGTTTCAAACACAAGGAAACTCCGAAAACTAATTCGTCATTCTCTGTTTTCTTCATTGACTTGTCTCAGACCAAGCACGGAATTTCGAAATCCTGAATCTATGGTTCAATCGCTAAAAGCACAGAACTTCGCTTCAAATCTTAATGGCATTCACCTCGGAGATTTCGGTGAGATTGATTCACTTGTAAATATCATTTACGAATCCACTTGATCCCTCTGAATTCCCCCATTGACATAGTCAACTTCCTCTTTCTAAGCTCCAAATATCTCTATTTTCAATCGTTTAATGCGTCTCCGAATTTATGACATGAGAATCATTCATCTCTTTTGGTAATTGTCAATATTTTTCAGTATCAGATCAGAAGTTCATGATCCCATTTGCCCCGTTTCTGTAAATTTTTATCTGGGCATGTTTTAATTTCGATATTTACTGCTAGAATGAGCACTTACTCTTTTGGGTCAGGAAGTCCCAAGTCTTTTAACGCATACCCAAGAGGAGATTTTGATCTAGAATCTGGAACGTTCAAAAGAGTCCGAAAGCAGAAGAATTCGCCTTTCAATATAATAAGAATGATCAAATCTGTAAAAAACCGACTGCATTATTTTTTCAAATCACACCCACTTGTTTGTTTCCTCGTATCCCTGTCTCTTGGAGTCTCAATTTTCCTAGTTTTATCTGTATATGAGGGTCATTACAAGATGATGAATAATTATCAAAATTTCAAGGCGAATTCGGAGAATTATCCGTTCCCCAATCTCCGAAATTTAGTCATGGTTGCTGGGCACTCAGTTTACACTAGTAGTAGCTGTGGGAAAGTTGATAAGGAGGATTCTTGGTTTTTGGAGTCTTATCAGAAGAATCCTGGTCAAGCTTCTACTTTTTTGGCACATATACAAGAGGGAATCGACATTGCAGCCAAAGATGAGGCTGCTTTGCTTTTGTTTAGTGGTGGTGAGACTAGGAAAGATGCTGGTCCCAGGAGTGAGGCACAGAGTTATTGGGCAGTTGCTGAAGCAAAAGAATGGTTTGGTCAGTTCCTGTGATTTCTCTTTTTTATGTATACATATATATGTATATATATGTATGTATAAATATATAACTTGTTTGATAAAGTATTCAAATTATTGAATTTCTTTGTCCTAATAGATGTGTTTTTACATGCCTCCAATTGAATGAGCTTTGATGTGACTTTCTATGTTTGAGACTTGTTGAGGTTAGGAGTTGTCAAGCATGGTTTTTCTGCTAAGTTGTATTGAGCTTTCTCTTTATCAAACAGATCCCATACGCGCAATTCGCGTGGTGTATAAATGTATTGGTGCTAGATCAGCTAATTCATCACATAGGTCTTGAGATTTTGTTTATATTGGAAGGGAAAATATAACATGATAGTTGAACTTCAATTTGTTCATGTGGAACTCTTTTTTTTTTTTTTTTTTTTTTTTTTATTTGTCATTTTTTTTTTTTTTTTTGGGGTTTTTTTTTTTTTTTTTTTTTTTTTTTTTTTCTTTCTTCCCTGCACGAAAGTTTTGAACCATCTGATTCTTGATTATTTGATAAATACGTGACTTGGGTTTTGATGGTTCATGTAGGCAAAGGCGAAAATGTTAGATCAAGGGCACTCACTGAAGAGCATGCTAGGGACAGCTTTGAAAATCTTCTCTTTAGTGTCTGTCGGTTCCGAGAACTTACAGGCACATATCCTCAAAATATAAGTGTAAGTGCAGTTTACTCAAGCAGTCAAGCGATTCTGGTTTTTCTTTTTCTATCTCTTCTGTTGATGTTCCTTTTGTTATATGTTTGACGTGAAATGTTATAGTAAACTAGCTTACGAAGATTGATAAGTAATCAAAGTAAAATTAAACTCTCTTTATCCTGTGGTGGAGTACATTTATTGGCATGCATATGTATGTGTATGTGTCAATGAGAAGGATCTATGTTTTGCTGTCTTGACATGATCAAGTTATACTGTGTCAATGGCATTGACATATCCCAGAGGACAGAATCAAGATAAACTGTGCAGTATGTAAGAAGCATGAGCAAAATTTCTTTGACAGAATCAAGGATATATATTCCTTTTTTTTTTTTTTTTTGGTTTTATCCAAGTTATATCGAGTCTGGACCCTATCGGGTTTCACAAATTTTAAGGCCTTTCTCTGTCTTGTGTGCTATGTCTCTATATGTAGGAAGGGCTGGAACTCAGGGAATCTGATATGCTAGATCTATGCTCATGGATTATATCTTCTCTTTTTATATGATCATTTTTGGCTTTAATTTCTTCCTTGACAATATGACATTACCCGCTATCTCATGCATCTTCAATATTCTGCTTGGCATTTTAGACTTTCATCCATGTGAGACCATAATACAGATGCTCAATCCATCATCTGGCAACTTTTCGCTATTTAGTCTTTAAAATTCATAGGCAACTCTAATTACGTCACTCCTGTTTACCAGGTTGTAAGCTATGATTTCAAGGAGGAAAGATTTGCGCAGCTACATCGATCTGCATTAGGCTTTCCAGAGTCGAGGTTCTCTTACTCTGGCACCCCAGCTATCTCATCTGCAAAAGCAGCTGCTCAGAAAGGTGAGGCATTGGTGCGGACACAGTTCAAAGAAGACCCATATGGATGTCAAGGTTCGCTTTACCGCAAGAAGCTAGGACGTGACCCTTTTCACAGAACAATCCCTTATCCAAACGGTTGTCCTGAAATTGAGGGTCTTTTCAGATATTGCGGAACAGCTCCTTATCCAGGATACCTTCCATGGGCTCAGTAAACTCAGTACCCTACTTTACCTTGATCCTCACATACTTGAACAGCTAGAAACTGGTTGCTCAACATGAAAAAAACATAGCCGTGTTGAAGAAATTAGAGACAATGATTAGATGTGTCAAAGTAACGTAATTGTTTGTTGCCGCGGTAGATACATGATACTGGTGATATGAGATTGTAGGATGGCAATTATTTATGTCTTCTTTGATCGAAGATTCAAACAAGCTATCGATGGTGTTCTAGTTTCCAGAAAGTCTCACAAGAAAATTAATCGACACCTGAAAGTCAAATTGATTTCTGAACCACCTTAATCAATCTAGTTTGTTACTACGCTCTCTTGCTTCCGTAAATACTAAAATGTTGTCAATAATAATTTTGAAGATTTTCTGGTTTTGCTATTTTGAAAATAAGGTACATTTCATTGCCATAGATGTTTTCTAGTAGTAGAATGTCTGGTTCATCTAATGAAATAGCAGCTAGAAGAAATACAAGACAAAATTTTATTCCTCATGTTATAATAACATAAGTGCTTGGAACCAATCAAACCGAGAATTTATTCATGCTTTGTTTTTAGCCATTATTTCCTTATATATATATATATATATATATATAACTGGAAATTTCCTTTTAGCCTGTATTATTCATAAAGGGACAACTTGAAGCTGCCTCTTCTGGCGGCACATTATCCAGTTTTACACCCTTCATAAGACCTCCAAGCAGTTCTCCGCGGTCATAAAAGAACTCCACCCTCACAATTTTTTCTTGTTCATCTAGCTGCAGTTTCAAATTAGAAAAAGGAATCAAATTCATTTATTTTCTGATATCATATGCCTAGAATAAGAAGCTAGATCTCTAGTCCTATTTGATATGCCAATGTTTTGAAAACTATTTTGTCTTTTGAATTGGTTTGAGTTATTCTCGGAAAGAATAAGAAGAAAAGTCCAACACTTCCAACTTAGTAGTACTAGTATTGCTACACTAATGTATGTGATGTCTTATTACCAAGAGTGGGAAGGGCAGTTTTAATACCTCAAAAATGGCCATGCCAAAGAGTTGAACCATTTCTTCGGTCGGCGCGTGGCCTTTGAAAGGACCTTCCATGTAACCCCAATGCCTGAACTTGTAGACGATCACCGGCGGACCAGAATACACACGGACAACTTCTAGAGCAAACCCTCTCGGAAAAGTAGTTGTAAAAGCCTGGTGAGATGAATCTGCTGTTTCTTCCGCGGGGTTGTAGCACCGGAACTTCTCGGGCAAGGAGGTTTGCAGCAAGGAGTTGTAGCCTCCCCCAAGCTTGCGCTTCTCTTCCAAAGTCAAAGCTTTCCTTCCTGCCGTTGAATATAAGCCATATTTGTCAAGACGGATAAAATGATGAGACTTCTTTTAATGGAACTGAAATTTACCAACCATTTAAGCTAAAAGTATATTTGTCTGGATCTAGAGTTTTGTAGTCCTCAAAGCATGTCTTGTGGAACATCTCCATTTCCCATGTCTTCACAAGATTCTGCACTTGCTCTTCAACCGACCCTGCAGGCCATTCCTACCATATAATGGATTCAGCCGGTGTGATTCAATAACTCGAATTTATACTGCTAACATAATAACACAATTTATTACGGTATTAAAAACAAAAGACTAGTATTATATATGCACAAAGAAAGACAGACAGTGCAAGCGTAGTTTAGTGCTAAATTTACACACCACTTTAGCGTAGATATCAAATTTCCCACTTCAAATTAAGAATAATAATAATAAAAATAAAAAAATAAAAACCTTGGTTCTGCCTTCTTCAAAGAGCTTGTTGACAACGTCATAGTTAGGAGGGGCTCCGAATCTCCATTTGGTGTTCTTCTCACCCTCTCCGTGCAAATAGGAGCGATACTTGTCTTCTTTAATTCCTGAAGATGCCATCTTACCAAATCTTAGACTCAAGAGTTTATGACAATTAAATTTGGGGACACATGATTTTCTTGTATATCCATGAACCGGAATACATATTCACCTAAATCTTTGCACCTTTTTTTTAATAATCATGATAGTGACATTTTGAACCATCCCCCTTAAACTTGCGTGTCCATGACCGCTGACGAGTCCGGGTGGCTGTGACAATGACATATTTGATGATCTGTCACAAGGTTTAGATATTTTTAAGAAAAATAATAAAAAATAAGAAAATTTAAAAAAATATATAAGTCAATTTTTAATTATAAAAATTAATAGATCAAAACTTGTTAAGTATAGTTTATAACTAAATAAATTATGGATAAATTTGTCAAGTTATGGTTTATAGTCAGATAAGTTATGAATAATTATAGACAATAACTTGTCAAGTTATGGTTCATAACCAGACAAGTTATAGATGAAAATAATAATTTGACATATTTATTAACTTATGTAAACTATTAACCTATTAATTTTAATTCATCTCAAATTTTAACATATTTCTCTCTTTCTTTCTATTTTTAATGGAACTTTCTCTCGTAAGATTTTCTTATCGGCGGGACTAATTTATTAACGTTAAATTTAATTAAAATCCTGTTAAATTAAAAACAAATATGTAACATAAATAATTTTTAATATAAATTTAACAATTAAAAATAAAATATCATCTCTAGTTCATTTTTTTCTAGTCCTATAAGAAAAAACTCCATTTTTAATGTTTATTTTTTATTTTGACATATTAATTGAATAATAATGAATATGGTTCACGTATAAGTTTGTTGGTGTCTATGATATTATAAAGAAAATTTACAAAAAAAAATAATAATAAACGGATAATATTTCTATTTCAAAACTTTTTGAAATTTTTCCAAAATTTTTATGATATTTTATTAAAATGTATTCAATATTTTATTGAAATTTCTCAACAAGTTTCTGAAATTACACTATATATGCGTATCGATATCAATATCTTGACCGATATTTACTAATATTTCCTACTTTTTTATAATATTACGATGAAACTGATTTTATGGTGGAAAACATCTCGTGACTATAAAAAATCAAAATTTTGACTAGAATTTCAAAAAAATTGAACGAAATTTACGATCATGCTTACAGTTCCTTTTTTAATGACCACCTTTTTAGCAATGAAATTATTGACACGAATGGTTCCTAACTTATTTAGTAAGTGCATTTTAGTTCTTAATATTTTTATTTTGACAAATCGATCCCAACATCGTTAAACAGTTGAAATTTAGTCATTTTTGTTAAAATTCGTCTAAAAACTAACGACCCAATACACATAATCACCCACGTGACCTGAGTTGTTGGTGGAAAGACAAAATCACCCTTAAAGAACTTTTTTTTTCATTTTTTTTTTAATTTTTCTGAAAAACCGCTCATATTCATTCCAGAAACACTCTCGACTGAACCGGAAACACGAAAAGCCCAGCAGCGGAATCCTTCTTCCTCCTCTTCTTGTTCGAAATCTGCTTCCGCAAATCGGTGGAGCAGAGTTGGCCACTTGAACCAAGCACTATACACCTTAGCACCCTTCTCTCTAGCACTCTGGGCCATCCAATTCACAGACTGGCTCTCATAATCAAACATGGTCAAGAGTTTTATGTTTGCGTGAAAAGGGTACGACTCAGCCAACAACTTGAAAGCAGACCCTCTACTCACAGTAAAAACAAGGCCATACTCATTCTCCGGTATGTTCAAATAATCCATAATCCTAGTCTTTATATCATGTTCCACAGTGCCCTTATCAGCACCACCATAAAGTACATGATTACTCAAATTAGCAGTTATCTCAGACAAACTAAAAGTGGATGACTCCCAATAGTGAAGTGTCTGAAGATGAGAAAAAAGCCCAAATCCACAATAATCAAGGCATAACTTTGGAGACAAGTGAAAATACTCATTCATCCTCAGCTGATCAATCTTTTCAGAGGACTAGTACTTTGGGTACATAGTGAGGAACTTGGACACGGATTCGTGGAGGTCAAGGAGGGCGTCTTCGGGGCCGAAAGTGCGGTCGGCAGCGAGGGCGGTGGCGCGGAGGAACTCCTTCTGGGCGTTGAGCCTGGCGAGGGATCGTGACCATCCAAGGGCCTCGTTCTGGTTGGCCATGGAAGTCTCAGAAGACTCGATGTCTTGGGATTTGGAGAGAGACCCATCTTCGGATGCTTCCTCTAGAGCTTCCCTCAGCTTGTTCTCGTTTTCGGAGAATTGACTGGTTTTTCATCTTCGTCTCTGTGGCGGAATCCGAGCCGTCTTTGCCTCTTCTGCTTCTGCTGCTGCTCTTTTTGTCCATCAGAAGAGCAGCGCAGTGAGATATGGGCTTCCACAGTGAAAGATGCATCAAACTAGCGTTTGAAAACAATTAAATCTTATACCAAAAAATGATAAATAAATTGGCTCAGAAGAAAAAGTTTTTGTTTTTCTTTAGCCCGTCAAAGAAAAACCCAGAAAGAGATCGAGATAAAACACAAGAGAAGAAACTTGAGCGCCAAGTTTAGAATTTAAATTTTATTAGAGTAAAAAAATTTTCCCATTTAATTTTTTTATTACAATAAAAAATTTTCATATAAAATCACATTTTAACTCAAATTAAAAATTTAAATAAATAAACTAAACGGCCTTCATACGTACAGATCAGAGAATACCCAGTAGAAGATAAGGAAATTTTTTTGGACCTTTATATGGGTTTTGTATTGCAGTTGCACAACTACTACTAAACGAACCAAAGCTTTAAAAGCTTTAATGGCGGATTTCAGCTCTCAGCCCCAATTCGAGCAACATGTTTTTTTACAAATATACCCACTGAATCACATGAGTAGTCACGTGCATTAGGTCATTAGTTTTCAGACATATCTTAACAGAAAAAATTATATTTTAACTGTTTAAAAACGTCAGAGGATAATTTATTAAAAAAAATTATAAATTAAATTGTCACTTATTAAATAATTTGAAAACTATTTGTGCCAATAATCTTTACTAATAAAAACATTTTTCTTCTACCGACAGGTTCTCTCTCCTCTTTGAGCTTGTCTTTGAAGAGTCATTTTTATGCCGTGTTTGCATTTTTTTTCCTTATTAACCTTAAAAAGGCCTTCATAAACGCACAATTGCCTCAAAAGATCGGCAATATTAATAAGGCTTTCATGACCTTAAGTACATTTCAGGTAGTATAGAGCTATACAAAATAGCCTTGATAATGTTTCTCTTAGCTTCAACGTTAGCCTCCCTAATGATCTTTAAGAAGTCAAATACTTCTTAATTGTAATATTTTTCAGTACTTGATATATAAGTCAGTAAAATTCGTCTGTAATTTCCACAACGGAGCTAAATACAACAAGATATATAACTAGTAGTTTATAAATCAAGCGTACGTCTAATTGAATGCTTATTATTTATTAACCAAAAAATAAAATAAAATAAAATAAAATCAAACAGTTGTAATTATTTCCAAAAAAGACAAAAAGGATCAATAGAAAAAAAGTACCAGCTGGGGGAGATTTCTCTTAATTTGGTTTATTTCTTACAATAATTATTTGACTTAGAAAATAGATATGCACGGTTAAGTTTTCACCAGATTGTAATAAGTATAAGAATATTATTTTACTTTGACAATAACTTTTGTTTAACTGTATTTCTTTTGTATTTGTCCCGTCTCAAATGATTATTATTTTTTGTGTGTATATGCTTGAGGACAATAAGATTCTACTAAAGTTGATCATCATTTCTTGAGTATTACTTAATTAAATTTAACTAAATAAAATAATAATAAAAATTAATGGATCAGATCCAGCAATAGTAATGGAAATAAAGTGGTTATGGATTCCATTCTCATTGGACATAATAATATATTTGTACAATTAGTGATGGATACTGGTGAAGAGGGATTAGAGCTTGTCATGATCGTTTAGATGTCGTTTGTTTGTTGAATATGTAAAATCAAATTATAATATAAAACGAGTAATGTAGCTCTCATACTTACATCATTGATGGCCAGCTATCTACCGAAAAGATCTGCTCTTAGTCGAAATTCTTGGATAACAAAGAAAGTTGAAGATGCTGATCAAATAAAAAATAAATAAAAAAAGTTGAAGATGTCTTTATTTATTTATTTATTTATTTTTTACTTGAAAAAAAAATATATCTTCAACTTTCTTCGTTATCCAAATATGAATACTCTAACTCATAAATTTGATGCCAACAAGATTCCAAAATCTATAATAGATATGCCTTAGGGGAAATTAACTTCTCCTACTTTATTTTAAGACCAATTAAGTGCTTCTCTCATTACCACTTGTGGTTATATTAGTGATTAACTAAACTTAATTCTCTTAACTTCTAATTAAAAAAAGCTTATTTCGCTTGTCCACTTGGTTGATCAATGCATGCTCCGCATATATAGAATTGAAAAAAACTACTGGATTCACTGCTATTGAATGAATCAACAACGAAAATGTGGATCAGGTGCAACTGGCCAGAGTCTTGTCTAACAAAAATAATAAAATAATATTCAACAGTAAAACTCAATGTAGATAAATGTCTATATATATATATATTGGTAACAAAGAGCCTCGATGTAGATTAACGAGTTCTAAAACCAGGCATCAGTTTTAACGATTTTGTATGTGTGTAAGCACTGTTTTTTTTTTTTTAATCTTTTTTGTTTTTGTTTTTGTTTTTTTTATCTTTTTTTATTTTTACTTTAAACTAGGGGGATTCTTAGATGTTTGATTATTTGAGTAAAGGATAAAATAAATTCAATTCTTACCATATTAACATATAAAAGAAAGACAAGCATATAAGAACATACGGATACCCAACTTTATAGGTAGATATTTTAAAATGGAAGTCCCTATATAAAGTCCAATTTCCACCTAGTATTAGGGTCTAACAAACTCAAACAAGCGTTTGATTCATCAATTTAAAAATTGATGACACTAAACAGAAAGTAACTGAAGTAAGTTATTGGTTCTTATTAAGTTAATTTCCATGTCCATTATACTATATAGTATATAAAACTAAAACACAAAACACAAAACAAAATTAGAAAAACGACAATTATACAAGTGTGTGTGTGGATATCAAGGTAAGAAATAATTAAGATTCCAAATGCCAAAGCCTACGTCAAGCTCAAAGTAATTTTTTCTTTTAAAACATGGGAGAAAAGCTAAAAGAGAGACATTATCTCAAGTCAATGTCAACGTCAAAAGGAAAAATAATTATAAAAAAAATTTAAAAAAAAGTCTTCCAATGGGAATGGGGAGGGTTCCGTAGAATATTTAGTGATGGAGCCAAATATAAAAAGCTTTTACAGTGTCCAAGAGTAGAGGAAGTCCAGAGAGCTTCAGGTGAAAGAATATCAAGAAAAAAAAAAACAATACTAGAATCTTTCGTCGATCAGAAGAAGATAAATTTTATAGAAGAATGAAAAGAAAGGTCTAAATGGAGAATAAGGTGCAGTTTGATCAAAAAGTGTCGTCCTCAGAAATTAGATCCGCCATTGAAGAACTGTCCATGGTGGTCAAAGCATTCAAAGCTTCAAGTAGTACAGTTGAAGTTGAAAATGGAAATGGAAAGCATGTCGACATTAGTGATCATGATCATCATGATCATGACAATTCGCACCATGTCCCCACCAAGGCTTTTCTTTCTCTCTCCAGTAACCTGCTTCTTCAAGTTCTTGGTTGTTTTCTCTCTCCTCTTTCTTATATGTTACCAATTAGCTTGCACGTAAAAATTGATGGAAATTACATTATCCTCCTTTTTTTTCTTGATTTTTTCAGACAAGATTGGGCCTACAATGGCTGTTCTGAGGCAAGACGTTTCTCAGAATATTCAGGTAAGTTTAGAATATTCCTGTCCCTGAACTTTTCGTGATTTCGCACTTTCTCTTGAGTTTTGTTCTTTTATTTTTGGTCATTCGATAATTTCATTTATGAAATAGTGGCAATTAACTTCAATAAGGACAGTTAAATGTTAGTCAAAATGTTATTAACATCCCAGCCATTGTACGGCAAACGATTTCGTAATTTTGCACTTTCATCCTTAAAATTATTTTTATGGTAATTTAGTCCCTAATTTACCCATGTCTTTAAAATTAAAAAAAAATAATATAAAAATAAAACTTAACTTGTTAGTTATTGGAGTTATTTCATTCTTTTATCTAGAAATTAGAGACTAACTGCCAAAAAAATTGTTTGATTCTTATAAGATATGGTATTTCTGAGCTAGATAAGTGAATACAAAAGCGCATGTATAATTGACCATAATACCAAAATAGCTTGGTATTGTTAGTACATGAGAATAATAGCTTGATTATGATCTGATCTTGTATTAATTTGGTATATGTGTGCGTAGAGATTGGAAATGCTTCATGAATCTGATCCTTTGATGTATTCAAATCTGGTTGAGATGATTAAGAAAGAGGTCGGTGAAGGCAATGCAAGAAAGGGTGCCAGCTGCAGTAAATCCATTGTTTGGCTCACCAGGTATAGATTTATCTACATATATATTATATACTATATAATCATATTTGTGTTTTTGCTTAATTTCTAGCTATATATTAATAGTAATGATTTGAAATGGAAGTCAGTTAAAAGGATTTAAAAATTCTATATGATTCTCCAGCTAATGCCGGCCTCGAGAAGTAACAAACAAAATGTCTTGGGTTTACTTTTGTATAAATAATTTTTATATTTAACTCTGGTCAGCGCGTGTATGTCTATATATATTTTTCGAAAAGATTCATGGTACATGGCTGATAAAACGAATTACTAGCAAAGTAACAACTCAGAAGTAAACAAACAAAATATCTATAATAACAACTCAGATGGTCCCGATCCTAAATTAAAACTTAGATTTATTGTTTGGCAAGACAAATGAGAAAATGGGAAAACTGAAAGGTAAATAATCCACGTGGCTTGGAAAATGGTGGACAAATTTTGTTATGTTATGAAAGGAAAAAAAAAAAAATGGAAACAAATTAAAATCTTTTCTTCTGCAAGAAAAATCCTGTCTTTTCTTGTTTGGTAAGATATGAAAGAAGGAGCAAAATACTTGTGTACTTCTGTTTTTATCCTTTAGTTTTTCTTATAAGAGTTTTTCTTCATGCATTTTGTACAAAGGATCAACACCCCTTTGTAACTGTAAATTAGCTTCTCCGAACAATGAATATATAACAACAAGCACCCAAATCCTTTTTCCTAAAACTTTACTAATAGCTCTAAGTTTTCTTTTCTTTTCTTTTTTTCTTACTTTAATTAATATTAGATCCCTGGATTTTACCGTGGCATTACTGCAAAAGTTAGTGAAAGATCCCGGACAGAACATGGAACAAGCAGTAGAAGAGGCTTATAATATCACTTTGAAGCCATGGCACAGATGGATTTCCTCCGCCGCATATAGAGTAATCCTAATTCCATTTCTTCCACCAATTCATGATTTTCACGCAATATTTTCCTTGATTAACCTAACACATGGAAATAACTTTTTGCAGGTAGCCCTAAAATTGGTGCCTGATTATCAAACTTTCATCGCTGTGCTGTTGGCAAAAGATGAAAACTATGATACTCTTAAAGAGGAGATGCAGACTTTCATCTCATTACTTGTTCCTTTTCTTGAAGAAATCCATGTTGTTTTGGTAAGCGATATGATCAGGTTCAACTACTCATATATATATATATATATATATATGTCTTGTTTCTTTTTTCTTTTTTTTTCTCTTTTTTCTTTCTTGAGAAACATATATACATGCCTTGTTCTTACACATTTATTGTTCTGATATTATTTAATTCTCGACTTTGCAGAGATTTTATGGCTTGGATAGGATAAAGTGCACTTGAGGCGTCTATATATATAAGAGGGCGCCAGATATACGCAGACCATAAGTTTTTGTTTAATATTATATATTGAGCTTTGAGTTTTCTTTAAACTCCATGTGCCTTTTTTCGTGTAAATATAAAAAATATGTATATATGTACATATATGTACATATATGTATATACACATAAACAGAGATATGTACACACACACACACAAAGCATGTTTAATATGTAACCACAAATAATAATCTCTTTATATCTAAGCTAATTGGGCTATATATACAGCAGCTGATTTGTTTGTAGATAATAACAGTAACAGTATATCTTCTAATCTACTAATCTATCTACTAGTCTACTAATCTACTAACATCTATACTAAGAAAGAGCCCGTTTCCGTGGAGCCTCTCCAAAAAAAACAAAAAAACAAAAAACAAAAAATTGTCTCTTCTTTCGTTTTGTTTTTTCTTGTCTTTTCCCTTTTTCTCCTCGTTCTTCTCTTTATACATTCTTGTTTTTTTTTTTCCCCTTGTGCAATTTTATGTATCCATTCTGAAAAGTCTATCATCACTTTTTCTTTATAATTTATCCCTATTACATAACAATATTCTTTTTTTAAAAATTGTCCACACTTAATATTTTTTATTTAAAGTCTTGTTTTATCAAACGTTACCCCTATGTTTCGCTTCACTTTCTTTTTATTTCGATTTTTCTTGCTTCCGTTTTTCTTATTATTGATCTTTCTTGCTTTATTCCCTTACATTAATCTTATATCTTTTATTTTGAGACATTATCATTTAAATCTTCTAACTCCTCCCTATTATGACATCTCTTATTTTTTGGTTCTTTTCACTAAATTTTTGCATCCTCTAAAATATTATTTTATCAAGAGTGGCTTTTACAACTAGTATAAGATTTTGATTGAGAAAATCGTTTTCCTTCATCGATGTACCCCTAATTAACTTTCTATAAAATTTTATCTCAATCAGAATCTTATAATTAATGCATTATAAGAGCACCTTATAATATTAATCAAAACATATATATTACAAGCACACGTCCATGTAATACATGATACATTGCATGCATGCAATTCAAAGGAAGCCGATCGAACAGAGGGACATATAAAAATATTAATATTAATATTAATATTATTCCTTAATGTTATACTAGTGAAGGTGGACAGAAAATTTAAAATTCCTAGCCTGTGCTCCTCAGAACAGGGCATCTTGAAGCGGCCCCACCAAGTTGTTCAGCAGAAGTAGTGTCAATTTTTTCACCCTTGAGAAGTCCTCCAATTAGTTCACCTGGGTCGTAAAAGAACTCCACGCTCACCACTTTCATGTGCTCATCCACCTGTATTTTAATTGCCAAATTAGGAGGCTAGATATATATACATATACATATATATATATTTATATATATATATATATAGTTTGACCCATCTCATGATCATGAAGAGTTGGGGCTCATACTCATAAAAATATTGCACTATTAGTGATGAAATGCGTAACAAACCCGATAAATATTCTATTGTAGGTAAATTCTACCTAGTAGAAATCATATATTGACATGATGATACTTAGAATTACTTTTTAGCCACCCGAAAAGTTTTTTCGTGATTCTTTTTTCGTGAACCATATCATTTTTTTATTATTATTAATATTATTAATATTTTGGTGAAGGACCACCCTAGACAATTGAATACTGATGCAAGACCAAGACCAGTGGTTTAATTATTATTATCATTTTTTTTTTTGCAATTTCACTTTGGAGATAGATCACTAAGAAGAAGATAAATAAAGAAATGAAAGTTGAAAATTTTAAGTAATTAACTAGTAGTACTTACATGAAAAATGGCCATTCCATAGAATTCAACCTTTTCTCCAGTGGGGACATGGCCTTGGAAAGGACCCTCCATGAAGCCCCAATGCCTGAACTTGTAAACAATCACAGGCGGGCCTGAGTAGACGTCGAGAATTTCCAACGCAAACCCGCGAGGAAACGTCGTCGTAAACGCCTTATGAGCTGAATCTACTGTTTCTTTGTAAGGGTCATATCCCCTAAGCTCTTCTGGCATGGATGTCTGCAGCAAAGGGATATATCCTCCCCCAAACCTCCTGCCTATCTCTTCTATAGTTATAGGTTTCCTTCCTGCAAAATCATGTTCAATTTTCTCAACAAAAATTTACCTAATTACTTTAAAGCTAGCTATTGCTTTAATGGAAAGGTCAAGAATAAATAAATAAAAAGGCAGACCCTAGTGCCAAAGAGACTCATGTACTATAACAAGTTCGGGAGAAAGCTCAATCCCGTGTGTACACGGCCTTATCCTCCGAAGAAGAGGCCGTTTCAGGGATTCAAACCTTCGACCCCGGGTGCAAACGCAAGCGCTCCCACCACGGTGCTAAGGCCCGCCTTCAAGAATACTAATAATATATATATATATATTTAAACCGTTAGATTCTCATTCGATTTACCTGTATATAAATAGTCAGAATGCACAAATTTAAATTGAATAGATTTTTGTACAGTAAATTTTTTTTTTACGACGGATAATTAAATCAATTTTTACGTGATCAGTTACAAACCATTTAGGCTGAACGTGTACTTCTTGGGATCGAGCGTCTTGAAGTCATTGAGATCAACCTTGTGGAAAATCTCCATTTCCCATGTCTTCACAAGATTCTGCACTTGTTCTCCAAGTGACCCCTCAGGCCATATCTAGTACCACCACCAATCAAAAATAAATTCAATCAGGTCGACTATCAATTAAAAGAATTTTACCAGATTTTTATAATAATACAAAATCACGATTTTTATATATATACTAGTCAAAAACACGCGCAAAAAATAGAGATGTATAGACCTTAGTTCTTCCTTCTTCAAAGAGTTTGTTGACGACATCATAATTGGGAGGAGAAGCATACTTCCACTTGGTATCCTTCTCCCCATCTCCTTTAAGAAGGTAACGATACTTGTCGTTTCCAACATCTTTAGATGCCATATCTTATGATCTACTTTGGTATTCAGCTCAAAGATTAATTTAAGATTGTTTTTGCAACAATTATGAGAAGCAAGAGGGTCTTATATATATATATATATATATATATATAGAGGTCGAGAGGGCAAAAGAGAGTCTATACTTGATAGTTGAGAATAGTCTTTTATTTTTATTGTTATTGTTATTATTTGATAATCAGAATAGTCAAAAAATTTGGTCCTTGTTCAAAACACAAACAGACAAAATTAATGAGGAATAGTCGGAATTTCAAATCATATTTGGGATTGCTACCAAAGGAAAAAACGCGTACGCAAAGACAACCTTGCTCGAACACAAATCTTATCTTAAATAAGCTAACTGAATATAAATATTATTCAGTTTTAAAAGGTAATATAATTTTTTCCTAAAAAAATTGCAAATTTCATTCTTTTTTCATTTTTTCTTAAAAATTAATATGAAAAAAAATCACTTTGGTATCCTATATCTTTAAAAAAAAAAAAAATCATTTTGATGCCCAATACTTTTAGTAATATTAGAATCGTATGCCTAGCAATTTTGACAAATGTTATCCTGGTACCTTGAAATAATTTTTTGGGATATGGAGTGTCCTTTCTCATCTTTTTTCTCGATTTTATTTAAATGATCGGATTAGGAAAAGAGGATCAAAAATACAAGTGATAACGTTTTAATACTATAATAAACACAGGCTATCAGGTTGACTTTTTTTTTTTTTTTTTTTGAAAAACACAAGGTATCAAAGTTATTTTTTTTTTAAATCAATATATTTGATGGCCGTCCACTAAGAAATTGTTGGGAGTGGCTTTAAATTAAACCTTGTCTTTTATCATGGGAAATAGTAAAAAATTGGCCAATATGAAAAGCTTAATAAAGTATATAAGCTAATTTTTAGTTACAGAAATTAATTGGCCATAACTTGTCAAGTTATGGTTCATAACCAGATAAGTTATGGACAAACTTATCAAGTTATGGTTCATAGTCAGACAAGTTATGGATAAAAACCGTGAATAACTTGTCAACTTATGGTTCATAATTAGACAAGTTATGAACGAAAACAGTAATTTGACCTATTTATTAACTTATGTAAACTATTGGCCTATTAATTTTATTTATCTCAAGTCTTGGCCTATTTTTCTCTTTCTCCCTTTTATTATTCGGCTACGGCCCATGTATTTCTCTTATTTACCTATTAATTAGGTGCTGTCGACTTTGTGTTTTTAGGAGCATATATATGTATGCTAGCGACATGAACGTGAATGGATAGAGTCGAAAGAGTATAGCAGCCGCGTAAGTGAGATTTGATCTCTTTTGTCATTCCCATTGATACACAATTTTCTCTTTTATTTTGGTGTAAGAATATTTGGTCATAAAATTATTCTTTGACAGATAGAGTTCTTTCTTTTAAGTTGAGAGATTTTGGGTGTATTCGAGATTTGTGTGAGAGATTTTTGATAAGTTTTTATAATTTTCTTTTGGTTATAGTGGAATTTCTTCGCCGTTTATGTTCGTGGACGTAAGCCAAAAGCCGAACCACGTTAAATCCTTGCGTCTCTTGAATTTTTCTGTTATTCATATTTTGTCTTGAATCTGCTTAATTTGACGTTTTGGCACAACAACTGGTATCAGAACTTTGATTTATTTGTCAAATTATTTTGAGATTTATGACCTCCACAATGACGACAAAGTATGAAATTCGATAGGAAAAATGATTTCAGTCTTTGGCGTGTCAAGGTGCGAGCCCTATTAGTTCAGCAATGGTTACTTAAGGCGCTAAACGGCAATGAGGCTTTACCGACAATGTTGTCAGATGATGCGAAAGAAGACCTCTTAGAAATGGCACACAGTGCTATTCAGCTGTCGTTGGCAGACGAGGTATTGTGTAAGGTTATTGACGAGACTACTGCTGCTAGGTTGTGGCTTAAGCTTGAAAGTCTGTATATAACTAAGTCTCTCACCAATCGGCTCTATCTAAAATAACGTTTGCACACTATTTGCATGTCAGAAGGTACATCTATTCAAAGTCATCTTGATGAATTTAATAGAATTATTCTGGATTTGAAAAACATTGATGTGAAAATTAATGATGAGGATCAGTCATTAATTTTGTTATGTTCTTTACCTCGTTCGTATGAGCACTTTGTTGATACTATGTTATATGGTAAAGACACTATTTTTTTGGAAGATGAATTCTAAAGAACTGAAGAAAAATGTGTCTAGAAATTGGGATGAAAATCAATCATGTGCATTGGTTGTTAAAGGTAGAGGAATTGAAAAAGGCAAAACTAAAAATAGAGGAAAGTCTAAAAATAGAAAAGGCATCTGCAACTATTTTCGCCAACCAGGGTATTGAAAAGTTGATTACCCAAAACTCAAGAGAAATAAGGAAACTAGTGAAAAAGCATCAACTAATATTGTTAAGTATTTTGAAGATGATGATTATGTCCTATCTGTGTCTGGTGATTGCGTAGGCAATTCTTGGATTCTTGATTTTGGATGTTCTCAACATGTGTGCCCTAATAAAGATTGGTTATTAACTACTGGTCTATTGATGTGGGTGTTGTCTTTATGGGGAATAATATGTCATGTAGAGTTGCTAGTGTTGGAACAATCAAAATTAAGATGTTTGATGGCAGAATTACGACTTTGACATATGTTAGACATGTGTTAGATTTGAAGAATAGTCTTATTTCTTTGGGGACTCTCGACTCACAAGGTTATAGGTATTCTGCTAAAGGTGGAGTTCTGAGAGTTAGTAAGGGAGCTTCTGTAGTGATTAAGGGAGAGTTGCATAATGGCCTCTATTTTCTGCAGGGTAGTACAGTTGTTGGTGCTATTGCGGTCTCATCTTACTTAGATCCAGATTTTATGATCACTCGTTCATGGCATTTGCATTCGGGTCATGTGAGTGATATAGGGATGTCCGTTTTGACGTTTGTTGGTGACTATAATGGTGTACAATTTGGTGAGAGTGACGGGTTCCGCGAGAAGAAGATAGTGAGACACCACACTATTTGAGATTTGCCACAACAGTTGTTAGTCGCAGATAGTATGAATTCAGCTCTCTTGGGGAAAACTTGTTGTTTGCTTTCTAAGTTTGGTTTTCTAACCTGTTTTTTGGTTAGATCTCCATCAACTGCATTTGGATTGAAGACTCCATTTGAGGTACGACTTGGTTGCTCTGTTGATTTTGTTTTTGGTTGTTCTGTTTGTGCTCATGTGAATGATGGTAAGCTTGAGTGAAGGACAAAAAATTCCTAGGATTTGAGTTTGGGGTGAACGGCTATTGGGTGTGGTTTGTTAAGCCAAAGTCACCAAGTTTGGTAATTCACAGAGTTGATGATTTTTGTCATCCTATTTGAAGACATGGAGTTAGTAGTTGCAAATAAAGATCCCGGTGTTCGTGAGCAGGTGGAGCTTGATAATTTGGTTTGTATTACATTAGTTGTGACAAGTTTGTTGATCAAGGTGGTTGCCATTTGGAAATTCAGGTGTCGCTTGGACTTATTTGGCGTTGCAAATTGGAATTAGCCTGGGGTTTCGGAGGAGATGGCGGAAGAATTTCATTATTTGGGCTTGGCTTAATTTTCGTATTATTGCAAATGATTTTAAATGAAGCCCAATATATTGTCTTTTGTTATTAGGCCTAGGGCCCATGTATTTCTCTTACTTACCTATCAATTAGGTGCTGTCACCTTTGTGTTTTTGGGAGCATATATATGTATGGTAGCGACGTGAACGTGAGTGGATAGAGCCGAAAGAGTATAGCAGCCACATAAGTGAGATTTGATCTCTTTTGTCATTCTCATTGATATACAGTTTTCTCTTTTATTTTGGTGTAAGAATATTTGGTCATAGAATTATTCTTTGATAGTTAGAGTTCTTATTTTTGGATTGAGAGATTTTGAGTGTATTTAGGATTTGGGTGGTGAGAGATTTTTAATAGGCTTTTGTAATCTCTTTTTAGTTATAGTGAAATTTCTTTGCCATTTCTGTTCGCATACGTAGGCTAAAAGCCGAACCACGTTAAATCTGTGTCTCTTGAATTTTTCTGTTAATTCATATTTTATCTTGAATCTGCTTAATTTAAGTTTTAACACAACAGAAATCACGGTCTCTATAATGTTATTTACACTCATTATTATGAATAAATATCTGCGTTTTATACATTTTTTATGGTCCAGTTAATTTATTGAAAATTGAATGGAATATTTGCTCTTTTTTCGGCTGAATATGAAATAATTGGCTTCATTTTTTATGTGTTGTTCTTAAATATAATAATTTACTGGATCGTATATGTTAGTTTAACCAATACGGGCTCTTTCCACGTGTTTTCTTCCCCTAAATTGGCCGAATATGAAGTAATTGGCTTCATTTTTAATTTAATGTTCTTGAATATATACGAATAACCAATACAGGCTCTTTCCACGTGTTTTCTTCCTCTAAATTGGCCGAATATGAAGTAATTGACTTCATTTTTAATTTAATGTTCTTGAATATAGTAAGTGGTAGTATTGTACACGTAAGGTTAATTTAACCAATACGGGCTCTTTCCACGTATTTTCTTCCCCTAAAATATTCTAAAACTAACTTTGTAATTCTTCATTCAAAAGTCAACAGTTGAATTTCAGACTAGATGGAACTCGAGAATGAATTAATTTAAATATTGTGCTTCCATATTTCTTTAAATAATTAAATTAAAGGGATAGCAATAGTTTGGGACAATTGTTATATCAAAACAATGTACATGGTAGGGTCAAAGTATGGCCCCAAAAATTAAATTTCTTAGTAACAGTGTCGATGTAAAGTTTTCCATAAAAACATTAAAAGTAAAATTTAGCTCTATATATGTGCAATTTAATTGTATGATTGCTTATGAATTGTCAATTATATTAAAAAGAAAAATAGTGCATCATATAATACCGGTTAGTTGTCATATTTCAGGACGAAATCAAAATTTGACGCCTCAGGATTAACAATTAGACAGTATATATGCTATCAAACTGTTTTCAAAAATGAAAAAGCTACTTGCTATAAAAGTTGAAAACAAAACAGAGGTTTTTGTATATAACCCTTAACTTGTAATACAAGGTTCAAAAATGTTGAGGTCAAATTTCATACCTCGTTTTTTACCATACACGTGTCATCGTGTTCCTCGAAAAATGAAGATTTATCATAAAATCGGCCTATAAAATCAGTTGGGAGCTTTCGATAACTCGCCGGCCCAATAGGTCGTCAAACGAGTCTTTAGCAGACAACAAGCCATTTCTCAAGTCCATGACTTCCCATATCAAGGAATGACCTAGAAGAACAACTCCAGCACATCAAAATCAAGCCGCGAGCTTCAAACAGCTCGCGGGTCGCGACTCGACGGACCAACAGCTCGTCTGGCGAGCTGCCCGAACTGCTTGGGTGACTTGGAGCCCAAGTTACTAGATAAGGATCATATTATGCATGAGATTATCTCCTAAATCTCAGGGAATCTCATTTAAATGGGGATATTATCTCAATCCTAATTCGAATATTCAAACTTCAATCTTATCTACAGGATATCTTCTATTAGAATTTAAATAAAAGATCTTATCCTACAGAGATTCAGCCACCAAGCCAATAAAAAGGGATTAATTCATGTCAATCTCAACGGGGATACACGAACATTATAATGTTGTTTTTCATCATTACCCTCTTCGCTCTTCCCGTTTCTTGCTCAATCATATTGTACTTTTTTATCGATATTAATGGAATCATTACCGAAGACCCTACAATGGACGTACCTAAATTCCTCAAGAAACCACTATAAATCTCGTGTGTTTCTATCTCATATTTACTTTTTCTCGCTTTTATTATCTACTATGCGATATTAATTCGCTGTTTGGTCCGGATTCGGTCATTGACCTTTTATAAATTCAATTGTAAAAATCACCCTCTACAAAAAATAAAAAAATAAACGAAAAGAGACTAGATGAAGAAAAGACCCAGTTGAGTTTAGAATTCCTGCCGTGTAAGTCATTAAATAAATATTCCATCCAATGTATAGGAAAGCTTGAATTAACCTAATACTTGTGAGAAATTTGTTCAATTATTAGAAGAAAAAATGAGAAATTTCTACAATCATTTTGAGATATTTCTTCCGTCAGAGACGAGTACAATTTTGCATAAGTTTTCACGTATCAACATCAATTTGTCAAGTATATTGGAATAGTAGTCGTTTTAACCTAATGAGAAACTTCTTTGATAAAAGAAGAGGGCAAATTGTAGAGGATAACACATCAATTTGTTAAATTTGCGTCGTCTTATTTTTTACTTGTAGAACATGTTTCTCACTACAAACTCTCTTTGGATAAGCCTGAATGGAATTTTGACCAGCTTTCGTTTTAAATGTGTGTCGAATATTCCTAATTCTATCTAATTTTCTCATCCCAAATTTGGAACTCATAATAATATAGGATCCTTAGTACCTAATAAAATAATTCAGGAAAAAGTCCCAATAAACAATTAACATAGGGTCCTTTTTTTGCCAGTGCTTATATCATTAATTCTTCACTCAACACTTGTAATTGAAAGTCTGAGAGCGTTTCCAACCTGACGTTTAAAAAATGTGTCTTAAAAGAATAGCATGTAGTTTTCCCATCAAGCTATGTTAATAATATGTAGTTTTCCAATCAAGCTAGTGTTCCAAGCCAAGATTCAACGTGCATGACCTTTCTATTTTTGACAAATCCTAAAACTGTTCTTCCTATGAAATCAGCGAATGGCTCCTACACACACACACATATATATGTATATATGTGTGTGTGGGGGTGTGTATATATAACAGAATGGTCGTGAGCTAAACATGACCTTCTTATGTTCTCTGTCAATTATGTTATTTACTCTTTTTATGAGTCATTGCCAATAAAATAACTATTAGGTGAACATATAAAATCAACAATATGAATTGATAAACAAGTTTTCACGTTTGACACAAATGCAACAGATTTAAATACATACGTACATACATACAAACATTATATATGTGTGTATATATATATATACATATATTGCTGGAAAACAGATTAAAATATGTTACAATATTGAAAGTTTGGCATACCTATATAATGTTCATGTATAATCAGGTATTCCCACAGAAACCATCACCTATTCCCACTCACAGTATCCTAACTAAATAAAGGTATTATGGCAGCCATAAAAAAATTTTCAAATTAAGAATCTGTCGAAATTATTAAATTCATAATTTACCGCCTAACAAAAAGACAGAAAGAAACACAAATCACAATTTACTCTACATATCTTCCAAAATTCTCCTATTTAGATTCCTTCCTCTCATTCTTGATCCTTGGATCTTAACTCTTGTTGCTTCAATTTTTGTTGAACCTAATTGATAACTAACAGTTTACAGTGATGACCCCAAGTTTTATTAGAATCACATTGATACCCCTTAACCAATACTAATTACAATAACTAGAGCATAAAAGACTTAGCATAGCTAGCTCAAAAAGAGCAACCCTCCAACCAAATTGAATGCAACACTGCAATTTGACAATCATGTTTATCGTAAACATGAATATTATAATCTGAACAGAGCAGAACAAATAAAGATTGTTCTCACTCAGTATACTAACACATTTGTGCACTCCACTTTAGCAAAACAATTAACAGTTCACATGTTAGAGTCAACACTTTACACGTGATGCATAGCTTTACAAGGTCAGAAAACCCTTGTATGGTTAAAAGGCTTGAAAATGTTTGCTTGGTACATGTCAATTAGTCTAGCTGTTCAACCATCAGTCTCAACTGTACATGATCAATTAAACAAGTAGTTTGGTTAAAGGAACACCTTACTTGGAATCGAGACGAAAATTTCTTTGAGTTAGCTCCAGAAGCCAACTTTCGCAGCCAGACCGGAATTGAATTTGTATGTGCTTATCGAGCATGACAGACGCTGTACAAAAATAACGCCAACTCCTGCAATCATTTAAATTTTTTAACAAGTTCTTATTACTTACACCCATGAATGTTGTATATTATCTTGCTGTTCTAGTTCGAGATGATGAGGCTTTCGATTGGTTCTGTTTCTTCCCATTCGACAAACCACTGTCACTGGCACTGCCCTCAACAAGGTTATCATGAGCTTCAGAAAATTCTGTAGTCCATGAATTCAAAGGGACTAGCGTATCATCTTTGGAGTTCCTCCTCCGCTCATCATGGCGTTTCACATTTTCAGATATCTCGTGGAAAGTCCTATTTATTTTAGCAATTCCCCTTTCTACTGGTTCTACAACGTGAGACACTGTATATTTCATGTCATCCACAATCTGAAAGAGGAAGAAAATAAAAGTCAATGGAGTTGATTCAAAAGGCCAACAGTAATTAAGAGGCACAAGCTGATAATCATACAATTTCACCACTTCCAAGAACCACGTCACGAACACTCTGAGGGAAATTCAAGCGTTTTTCTCTCTCGTCATGACGAGCCAACCGTACCGTAGTTGATTTTTCACAATCATGAACCTCCTCAGGATCAGGAGGTGACCCCAATGATGCATAGTCAGCCATGACAGCGACATTACGAACACATCTTTCTCCACGCTTGTAGGGAACTGCTGGGAAGACATAAAGGTGAACCATGGCAGCAACACCCATCTGTTTAACAAGTTTGGAATCAGAAGAATTTTGAACTGAACGATGATTATTAGAATTTTTTTTTTTTTCATCTCAAAACCTAATCCGACGTTGACTAGTAATTTTTCAAGATGAAGACATCTTAAATTAAGTTTACTCGTGAGATAATTATAAAAAAAAAAAAAAAAAAAGTTTCCATGCGAGATGATTTTTCTTTAAGAGTAGAATTTCACTATCTAAATTATTTTTATTTCCTTTAACCAAAATCAAATCACCCTGAAACCTCTGGAACGTCATCCAAATTTTTTTTTTTTTTTTTTTTTTTTTGGTAAAACCTGTGTATTAGTAATCAAAAAGTACGTACAAACTGTAAGGAGTTATCCTCAGTACACAAAACGCAAACTAAGTCACAAAACTGGAGACCAACTCCTGCCTAGATCAGAAATATGCATACTACTAAAAATCTTATGTTGATAGATACAAATAGCTACCCCTAATTTCATTCATAGCATGTTTTCGCTGCCCATTAAAATGCCAAGTGGCTACCGTGCCTACTACCACTGACCACGTTTTGACATATGACGCTTACCGTCCATATAACTACTATATTTCTTTTACTAAGATTTTATTGCATAGAAAACTTGCGATTGGATTTGTACCAATAAAGCATCATTCAGCAATGAGCTCAATTTATAAGCATACAGTACACACCTCTATGCATATGATGTAGTCTTGTATACGAGTTTTTAGTTCTTGTGCCAGAGCCCCTCTAAAGGTTCCCATTGAGAAAAGAAAAGCTACTGCAACTCCTTGCCACCATGTCAAGAATACAATTGACTTGAAAACTAGGAACTTTGCCAAGGGTTTAATGGGCTCTAACTTCTCTTTGGTGACAGAATAGAACTGCACGAGGCAATATAGGGCCCAAGTCTGACTAAAATTTAGAACAACTGCCAGGTACGGGTAGCTGCATGTAAAGGTTCAGAATAAGACACATACAATAACAAAAATGACAATTAATAACAACCTAGAGAAAAACTAATGAAAAAATGTCCTCAACGTTCACGAAAATCTTTGGTACATGCAAAACAAAAGTTTTACATGAACTCTAGACTTCGGCCATCCAGGCAGGTGTAGTCACAGATGCATATGTGTGCTTAAGAAGACGTGAGTATACATAAAAGTTATACATGGACCTGAAGATAAACGAGGTTTATGATTATATCCTACCCGTATCTCCACTCAAACTTTCCTTCTCCATAAACCCCAAAAGACTCGAGAATCATTGCTAGGAGAGCACATATCATCTTCAGTATCATCTGCAGAAAAGGTTCAGGTAAACAACAAATCACCACAATAAATATAAAAAGAGAGACTAAAGAAAAATTCGAGCAAAGCAAATCAGCACATACATATTGAACAATGCCAATTTTCACAGCATTATAGAAGTCGGGACCAAGATGCCAATCTCGTATGAGACAATTTAGCGGGAACGGATGTTCCACAACTCCATAAGCATATGCTTCATTCAAAAGAGGCATTTTGTGATCAACTACGCTTTGATTTTCCATAAACTGGATCGTCCTCTCTTCCCCACCTTTAGGTCAGCATCAAAATTTTTCCCAAGCAAAAATTAAAAAAAAAATGTCACTCCATTTTAATTGCATCAAACTAATTAGAAGATTCACACTTAACAAAACCATTGACATACAGAAATTGAAAAGAAAATAATAAGCACGTTAATGCCATCATGGCTGAGACTGGGTTGAAAAGGCTGAGGCAACATACGAATAGTCACAGGTTTCTTTTGACGTACCTAAGCAGGCTATCAAGTATCTCTCAAAGCAATACAGTGCAAAAGCCTCGTAGCAGTCCCGGATTATTTCACAGTTAAAAGCAGAACTTGAATCCAACAGTGACAAAAACTGCATTGCAGAACATGAAATGTTATTAATAATGCAAAGTACTTCCAATTTCATGCCAGAAAGTACAAACTATGCACGTAATTGTGTCCAAGAAATCAGATTTCATGACACGTGTTTTTCCAGAGCGTTTGCACATAGCAAGTTTTTTCATGTTTATACATATAGCATATCTCCTATTTATGAACCATAAAATAAATACCAAAAATAAATACATAAGCGGGCATTCAGTTATCAGTTCAAGTAAAATATTCAAACAGTTAAATGATATGCAGCACTATATCTTGTTACAGAAATTGTGGGAAAAAAAATAGTCTTTTAATCTGCAAGAAATTACTTGGAAAAATTACATATTTCATCAACTGAAGCATCCACTCAAGTCATTGAAAAACATGAGTGCACACAAAGATTTTAAGACTGTCACGACCTATGGGCTTTTCAGGAAAAAATCTGAAGCTCCGTGAAACTTTTCCGAACTATTTTTCAGTCTAGTAAGTATAAAATTGACTTCCTTAAAAACAAGTATAAAAGTTGACTAAATAATACTTTCATCGTGATGAAGTTATAACAACAAACAATAAGGGGCAGTGGGATTCATGGAAAATGCTTTTGCTTCTTGTACTACTTGAAATCAATGTCATTAGATATGATTCATATTACATTAACAAGACTAAATCAATTGTCCTCTTCGTAGTAATTGAACTTAGTAGTCATGCACCGACTTAATATGCATTCATATTAGAAATCTTACTAGCAATGTAAAATAAAAACCAGATTACAAATGTAAAATAGATAAACAAAACATCACACAACAAGAATTGACTATGGTGTCAAACATCACAAGACTAAAATGAACTAGGCGTAATCAAAAGAATTCACATCAACTCGAGCAAACATAAGAGAAAGAATTGAGACAAATCTAGCTCATGGAGGCTGCTCAATGAAAGAAGATAGAAGATAATGTATGCCGTATACCAAAGAAATAGGTAAATGAACAAACCAAAAAGAGAGCACAGGAGAGAGGAGATTAGCTCAATGTATAACTAATATCACACTTTCTACTTTTGTATTGCTTCTACCTTTAATACATTGATGGTAGGTCAATTGGACCTTTTTTCCTGCCCATCAAAGAAATTTTTTAGTTCCATGTGAAGTCTCTGACCTGAGTAAGAATAGAAGCTAATAGAGTAGTATAATGGGATTGATGATGAGTGCGGTAAAAAGCTCTGGGTCCCTTGGGTAGTTAGTTAGTTACCAGTTTATTTTCACGACTATAATAAACCCTAGCATATGTATGAACATTTCGTTTTAAAAAGTAGAACCCCTGAACCCTAGGTGGAATCAAGCATCCATTGTCCTTGTGTTCAGCTTGCTTTTGCTATAAAAGTTAGGAGAGTCACATCAGCAAAACAAAACTTCTTTCTTTCTTTTTTTTTTTTTTCTGGACTGGAAAATTTTCTATATACCTGTATATGCATAGTTAGATAAGGGTGCAGCATGAGTCAAAAGTGGGGCTCTAAGCTAACCTTTTCTCTTATGGACCAGGTTTTTGCTAATGAAGGGAGGTCAAGACTCAAGATCTCTCAAGACTGCTAACTCTAGTAGCATCTTCATTTGTTTCATCCAAGACCTTTCAAGACTGCCAACTCTAGTATCCTTTAATAATTCCATCCAATGACTTAAGAATCACAAGACTGGAACGAAGCCAATTGCTCGGGTGTACTTCCTACATGCTAAAAGCATATAATTTTGCATCCGAAAGAGAAGTAACAAGTAATATGTGCCCCGGTAAAATGAAAAATTATATATATGTTTTTTTTAGTTCAAATAGAATATACTAAAATTTGCCTAACTTAATTTCAAGAAAGTTATAGACAAGCAATGGCAAAAAATTTACAAGAAACGGTATTGAAGAGAGAAGAAGAATAAGAAAAACAGGAAAAAAATTGAGCAAAGTGAATTACATCATACCGATTCCAGTGCATAAACAGGAACCATTAGAATGAGACCAACCAGAAACTTCTGCTCCTGAAAGTAAATAAGCATACGTCTCAGTTTGGAATACCACATATGAAGAAACAAAATATCAAAATCCAATTACAAGGCCATGACACGAGACATATGCAAACAATTTAAGAAGTTCTTACAAAGACACTAACAAAAGATAAAAATCCCCCCAATAAAAAAATAATTTTTGTCCTCCAAAGTAGAGCGAGAAGAAAACAAACCTCCGGCTGATTATAAGCAACTAAATGCTCAAAGATAAGATACATGGAAAGAACAAGCGCAAGAAGTACGAATATGCCGGCACTAAAGATGGGCCAATTGATGACGAATGCTGATTCTGCACCCAGGTTTAGTAACCACATATTTCCTGATCTGCTTGAGGACTCGACTAGAGTAAAAAGGAAGAACAAAAAATAAAAACCGCCCTTCCATTCCATTCCGTTGCTTTACAATCCCGCAACTTGATGATCAATTTATCTTCACTACATCAACGACTTCACAGACATGACTAAAGACATCAAGAACAGAAAGTGTCGGTGTCGGATCTTTATCTGCGTTCACTTCTGACACAAACCACTCTTGGATTGTACAACCGGAAATAACGGCGATTACTATAATCTGTCATAGAGATTTGTTTGCATTTAAACATGATATGCCTTCTAACTCAGATATGCACTCATAGTTTTGCAATGGCAAACAAAGAATCACCAGTGGCAAGGACCCCAAGACCTTCAATGAGAGTAAAAAGATCACTCAACAAGATTAACTGAAATAGAATGATCCCAAAGACCTTCAATGAGAGTAAAAAGATCACTCAACAAGATTAACTGAAATAGAATGATCCCAAAGACCTTCAATGAGAGTAAAAAGATCACTCAACAAGATTAACTGAAATAGAATGATATGCAACTCCAAATGCAGCAAAACGTAAAACAAGACAAAAGTAGTACAATAATCAACAAAAGATAACAAATGGGTAAACGCACAAACTGATCAAAATAGCAATTTTTCACCAGTATCAACCAAAAATCAGAATAGCAATTTTCAACGATTCAAACAAATTCCAAAAACAATAATCAAATACTATTGTCCCCACTCCTCAACGTCTCGAATTCTGAATCTCATGCAAACTATAACAATCACATAATAACCCAAATGCGGAAACTCTACGACAACGATCATTAACTAATATAAGCTAAGATTTACATTCCTAAGCAACCCATTATAAGATATGTAAAATCTATGAAATCCCAAATTAACAGAAACGCGAACTTGGTTTTTCCAAGACAAAATCAATCCCAAATTAAAACAAAAATTAGGAACCGAAAACCAACCATGGAGGAGCTTGGCTCGTGGGTGGATTGAAATCGGCTCTGAAGGACTGAGAAAACGAATCGACGGTTCTTCTAGGGTTTTTTTTTTTTTTTTTTTTTTTGGTCTTGAAAATGCACTTTAACCGACTAAGAGATGTTCGTTACGTGCCTCGAATATATTCATCTTACAGTTTTTCTGCTGAAGCAGTTGTGCACCATCGAACGGTGCAGATAGCTGTGGGCCCCATCAAGTCCTCCTTGGAAAGAAAATCGTTGTGCAGCTAATTAATGTATGTTTGACGCCGTTTGTCTTGTTCTTTCTTCTCGGGCTTTTTTTTTTTAATTTCTTTTTTGGCTTTTTGTTAGTTTTCTTTTTGCCTTTTTTTAATGAGTTATATGGCATTGTTAGTTTCAGAATTTCAAACAGTGATATTTTGGTACCTAAGTTTTAATTTAACATATTAATCCGATACGAGTTTATGAAGATTATAAAAAGTTTACTACAATTAGACTCTAAAAATTCCATTTTCTAAAAAGTTTCAGCAACGGTGCATAAATTTTAAGGACTCGTTCATTTTACTCGTTTAAGTTGAAAATTTGAGTTAAAAAGTGAATTTATGTTAAATAAAACATTATAATAGAAAAATGTTAAATTTGAATTTTTGTGATAAAAAACATTATAGTGAAAACTTGAGTTATGATTCAAATTAGTAAAATAAACGGAACCTACAAATTCATATCTTAAACTATGAATCTCTGTTTTAAGTGGTTCGTTCTATGTCTACTATTCATGATAACTAATCCCGAACTTAATAAAATCTCAACTAAAAACATACATTAATGATTAAGATAATTAATCGCCCGTTTAGTAAAGGGATTCGTTCCCTGATTCGAATCATGATTCGTGATTCGCTATAATATTTTTTCTCATAAAAAATACACGTAAATCAAAAATAATTCTAATCACATGATTCTAATCTATGAACCAAACGGGTTCTAAAAATCATATTTAATATGCCCATAATAATTGACACAGCAAAAGTACGAAATAATCATGTTATATAAAAGGAATAAGTACAAAACTGCCCCGTAAATCAAAAATAATTCTAATCACATGGTTCTAATCTATGAACCAAACAGGTTCTAAAAATCATATTTAATATGCCCATAATAATTGACACAGCAAAAGTACGAAATAATCATGATATATAAAAGGAATAAGTACAAAACTGCCTTTATAAGAATCATCTTTGTAATATTGATATCCAAATAATCCATAATCCTAACTGTTCTTTTTGGAAGAGCTGATACGTTTGACCAAAATTATCCCTCCAACCCAAAAAAACAAAAATAAAAAAGGATTATGGTAAACGCCGTAGAGAAATTTGGTAATTTAAAAAAAAAAAAAAAAAACAAATTACCAACCATAGGTCCTTGACACCAGTAATTAGAGAGGAATCTTACATATGCGAGAGAAAATTTAGTAGATTATTTTTTAAATTCAACAAAACAAATTATTGACTACTTTAGTATTGCCGAACCCAAGTTGCATAATAATTATGTTACAAAAATTAGTAATTACATTACGGTATTACAAGTCTGTTTGACATTGTTTTTAGATGTGTTTTTTAAATTTTTTTTGAGAAGTAACTATAAGATAAGTTAAGGTATTTGTTAAATCCTGCATTTGTTCAATAACTTCTAAAAAATTATAGTTAAACAAAAGAATTTAGGAAGCAAGTCAGAGATTACATTTTCAAAGCGGCATCTCTTATCACTGGCCAAATTTATTAAAATAACCTTAATAATAAAACTCAATTCTCAATTACCCATTTTATTTTTCCATACCAAATTGAAAAATATATATTTTTGAACATCTTTAATAACTATACAATGTTAAATTTTACTCAAATACTTTTTATAACTATCAGAATATTTAAAAATAAGAACAAAAAATAAAAAGTTTAGTAAATGAATAAATTTTCTCTTTGAATTCTTAAAAATATTATAAATAATAAAATTAAGATTATATTTTTTTGACATTGTGGTACAAAAATACTACGAGTGGATCTTAAAAATAAAAATAAAACTAACTATAAATATTTTTACTTAAATATGCCTGTACATATAAATAATAATTTTACACATAATTTATTAAGCACCTCTATATTTTTAACCAACAACATAACTACAACCAAAAATTACAAAAACACAAAATAATATTAAGGTCTCGTTCAGTTTATCGATTCAAATTTTTAATTTAAATTAAGATGTAATTTTATGTAAAAAATTTTAATTATAACAAAAAAAAAATAAATTTGATTTTTTAAAAAAATTTAACTATAATAAAATTAAAATTAAATACTTAAATTGATAAAATGACCTGCGTTACCAAAATGCGCTGGATATTAATTACTATCATCCATAATTGCACGACGCAGTAATTAGCACGTGTGTGGCTACGATGATCCCTTTTCCACTTTTCTTCTCCATTTTTAACCTTTTTGTTTCATTAATGACATCACAATTTGTGATCCTTTTTTTTCACTTTTTTATTATATTTATTTATTTATTTATCTCAGTTTAAACCCGCTTTCTAAACTCGCTTTAAAGACAGCTAAAAACCACCATAAGCACAAGAAAGAAAGAGGGAAAAAGAAGAAGAAAAATGGGAAGCATAACAGAAGAAGAACAATTGATTCAAATGGTCAGGGACTTCATAGAATCAGAATCAGCTCCGCAGAATCCTCCAGAACCATTTCCTCTTATAAATAATCATCGCCAACCCGCTTATATCGACTCTCTACAGGTCTGTTTTCTTAGTACTAAAACTCATAATCATTGTGTGTTTCCTTACTCTTTCTTTTTTAGTTTTATTATTTGGGTTTCTTATTTGGTTTTTTTTATTTTATTTTTTTTTTTTTGCATTGTTTTAGGAGATAATATGGAGGGCCACAGACAGTGAAGTTGAGATTCTTGAGAAAATTCTGATGTATGTGACAAACTTGGGAAGTTTAAGGGAGCCAATCAATCTGAAGAAATGGATAGTTTTGAGGCTCAAAATGGATGGTCATGAAGCCTCTCTTTGTAGAACTTCTTGGGTTTCTATCTTAGGTCTCGCCAAAGGTTGTCTCACAAAAGGTTCCACTTTCCTTTTTTTTTTTTTTCCCTCAAAAGTAAGAGAATGTTTAGTATCTAGATTCGTTTTTGAATTCGAATCATGATTCGTGATTTGTTATTTTTTCTTATTAAAAATACACGTAAATTAAAAATTATTGTGTTTTTTTTTTCCCTCAAAAGTAAGAGAATGTTTAGTATCTAGATTCGTTTTCGAATTCGAATCATGATTCGTGATTTGCTATTTTTTCTTATTAAAAATACACGTAAATTAAAAATTATTCTAATCTGGTGTTTTTTTTTTCTTTTTTGGGGTTCATTTTTTCATTAATTAATTTTACAGGTGATTATGAATTCGTTGATGTTATGATCATGAGAAATGGTGAAAATGGCGTAAGCAGCAGCGAACCTACAAGGCTTATAATAGACATGGATTTCAGGTCTCAATTTGAAGTAGCTAGGCCTACAACAAGCTACAAAAGGCTTGTTGATTCTCTTCCTCAAATATTTGTTGGGAGTGAAGAAAAACTTAAAAATGTGGTATCTCTCCTTTGCTCTGCTGCAAAACAGTCCCTCAAAGAGAGTGGTCTCCATATTCCTCCATGGAGAAAAGCTAGTTACATGTTAACCAAGTGGTTCTCGGAGAACTGCAAAAAAGTTTCCATTTCACCAAACATGGAATAATTCTGATCTTATTACAGAACTGTCTTGTCTTATGGGCAACTCTAGTTTTGTCGTATGGGGAGAATGAGCAAATATGGTATATATAGACTATATGCTATAATCCGGGAGGATTTTCAAGTTCTTTTTCTTATTGTTTCTTGTTTTTGTCAGAAAAACTTTGGGTCAATTTTGTGGAGGCAGACCTCAAAGTTTTGATCTTTCTCGTTTCTATTTGCCCTTTTTTTAAGTGGCAAACTCAGTTTGTACTTGAGCACTTTAGCTACTATATATATATATATATATATATATTGATATATAACGTTTGTTTTATTACATCCTTTGAAAGCAGTGACAAAACCAAAAAAATTTATCATGGGGGTTATAATAAATAAATAAATAAAACAAAATTTAATGGGAGTTATAAAATTAACTTTTTATATTTTTAATGGGGGCTAAAAGTATATTATTGTAACACAATAAATATTCATCTACATATGATCCATTGAGCTTTTTGTGGCTCTCTGTCTGTGTTTAAGAGTTCCTCAAACAAAATTTAAAAAAAAGACAACTCGAGTTTTAATTTTATTTAAGTTCGCGTTCTTTTAAGTTTTAATTTTATTTAATTTTACTTAATTTTATTTAAGTTACAATTTCAACTCAAGTTATAACTCAAATTTAACTTAAAAATTACACTCAAATTACATTTTAAAATAATAACTCTTCAGTTTCTTGAAGAAGCTTCATTGTGAGCTCCATGCTTGTTTGTCCATTGAAAATATATATTTTTTTCTTGCGTACCAGTGTAACTTAATACTCGTGCTTGACAAATGAATGGAATAGTGGCTATTAGTAGGACATAATTTATTGCTTGTTGTTAGTTTAATTAACATAAACAGAGCTTATGCTTTTTTTAATCAATAAATAAATAGTTATAGATCCTAGGCATGTTCCTCTATTAAATAGAGACTTGGGTTCCAAGTTGGATTTAGGAACGTTCCAGAACAATAATAGATTAGCAATTAGTAAAATAATTTCCCCAGAAGAAAAGCAGAAAACAGAAAAAGTAATATATTTATTTATATTTATTCAAGAAAGAAACGCTGGAAAAAGTGCGTGCTTATCCACATTCAAAAGATGCCAATTTAAGGATAGTTGGGAGTCAACCAATCAAAGACTCAAAAAGCAGAAAGAAAATCAAGGGAAAAGGACGCAGAAGAAAATGAAAGGAAATGAAAAAATAACAAAGAAGGAAAATTCTCTAATACAAGTATCCGTAAGTAAAAAATTTTAAACCGTTAAATTTAATAGATAAAAAATTTAATTTAATGATGTATTCACGTATTAGAAAATATCCACATTAAAAAGAACACTAATAAAACTTCATCAGGCAAAAAAGATCCGAATAAAACGTCCTTTTGTCTTTATTATGGTCCGTTTAATTCACTAATTTAAATTTTTAATTTGAGTTAAAATATAATCTTATGTGAAAATTTTTTATAAAAATTAAATGTGATTATTTTAAAAAAAAAATTTATTATAATAAAATTTAAATTAGTGAAATAAACAGAGTCTATGACCTCGTTCATTTCATAAATTTGAGTTTTCAGTTTTAAGTTTTTACAATAAAAAGCTTTTAAAAAATGTCACATTTAACTTTTTTTATTACAGTAAAAAATTTTTAAAAAATATCATATCTCAACTCGAATTCACAAAGCGAACGATGCTATATAACTTGAATTAATTGGTGTTTTTTTTAGTGGGGGGTAAAATTGGAACTATATCCGAGAGTGTGCAGATTGTACTTTGACAAGATTGCGAGAGACAACAAAAGAAGTAAAAGAAGAGAAAAACAGAGTAGAAAAGAATAATGAGATGTGACGAAAATAATGATTACTGTTGAGATACGATGGGGAGATTTTGGGAGCCAAACTTCGCCACTGCAATAACTGCTGAAGAACCGATCAGCAAAGGATCCGAGAGCTGACACGGAGAAAAATGTAAAAACCTCAATCATCACAGACACACACTACGAAAAACTAATACCCTTTTCTTTTCCTATTTTATTTTTACTTATTTGAACTCTTTTTTTTTTTTATTCAAACCACTTTAACGTGTTAATCAAACCCGCATCAGAGAATCAAAAATAATATTAATTAGGGAGGTGTAGAATTAAAAATAAAACATTAAAACAAAATTAAAATTATGTGTTTAAACACATGAAAAAAATGAGTTATAAATCAATAGTTTGAATCAACCCTCAAATATATTTACCAAACACTAATTTAATAACTTTAAATATCAACTCCAAAATGAATGTAAACTCTAGAAAGCTCCTACCATTTAGATGACGTTTGATTGATGGATTCAGAATCATGATTTAAAATTATTATTAATTTATGTGTGTTTTTTGTGAAAAAAAATATTATAACGAATCACAGATCATAATTTGTACCAATCCTTGAATCAAATACACTCTTACATTTTATTTAAATGATTTTACGAGCCAGTTTGGTTAAAAAATTTAAACCAAAAAAAATGAAAAAAAAAAATAAATTTTATAAAAAAATACTGTAATAAAATAATTTAAACAATAATATAAACCTATGCATGTCACATTTACTTGATTAGCCCGGCAGCCAGGCTTTTTTTGGATGAACCGTGACAATCCCCAAAAGTAATACACACCCAAAGTACTCTCCAGTTAACGTTTGCCAAAGTGGGAAAAGTTTATTATCATTGCAAGTCTTAATCAAACCTTTCAATTCACTGTGACGAACCAAAAAAAAAAAAAATGAAAAAGACGGAAAGGAATAGAATCATCATCAGAATTGAGAAGTTTGGAAGCAGACCTGTCCATCTTAGGAGGGGATTGGAGGCATAAAAGGCGGGATATCCATAAATACTCACACAAATTCTGTGGCCATTAATGGAGATGTCAGAATTCAGATAGAAATGTGAATTTTCACTGTTTTTAATATTTTGATTGATGGTCGATAGGCTCCACGTCGTTTTTGCTTCCTCTGGCCAAACATGTATTAGGGGCTCCATCATTTCGGATTTTTAGGGCACTTATAAAAAAAATTTAAAATAATTATTTTTATCTTTTACTCAATTTATTATTTAACATGTGATTTTACTGTCTCATTTTTTTAAATAATAATATATTATATTAATAAAATTTATATGTTAAATAATAAATATAAAGAATGATAAAAAAATAATACTAATATTTTTAAAAACAAAACCTTATACGACTCAACAATGCGTGTTTCTCAAACAAATTATGACAAACATAAAAGGAAAACAAAACAAAACTAATAGTCATATAAACTTAACGGTCTAAAACAATATTCTATAAAAAAAATATATTAACAGATATATTTAAGAAAAAAAATTATGTAGGGCTTAAAAATATTTAAGAAAACAAATTACGGGACTAAACTTTTTTCTTTAATTCAAACAGGATCAAGTTAAGACAACAACTTATTCTATGTAAATTCTTTCTTTCCTTTTAAGGACATCCTATTGAAATTCTGAACAAGAAAGAATAAACATAAAACAAGAAACTTAACATCATAATAATAATAATTTCAATGTATTCATTGGGTACTAAAAACAACCATAAATAATGACAAATTGAGATGGTTCAATAAGTATTTTCCATTTTTTTTCTAGAATTTCTACTGCATCAAGTCTACTTTGAAAGCTTATCTGATAATCCGTCTTATTGATAGTCTTAATTTTTTAATTGTTAAATTTAATTAAAATTAATATTAGATTAAAAAAAACATGTAAAAAATTTTAATACAGATTCGATAACTAAAAAATAAAATACTATCGATAGTCTATTTTTACAAGGACTGTCCAAAAAAATCCCGTCTACTTTTTAACTATTGGTAGGAGTTGTTATGTTCGTTGGATTCATGTTTTAACGATCTCATAAAAATAACCCAACAACAAAAATAACAGTATTTACTGATATTAACTGTAGATGCAAGTTGAACTCAAAAAGAGTATATAAAAATAAATAAATAAATACAAACTGTAGTGCGCAAGCCCTGTAGTAGCACAAGCTTGCTCCAGTGAGCAAAGCTAATAATTGCGTGGCTACATTTATAGGAAGACTAGCCCAACTGGAAGCTTTATAAATTTTCTTGTTGTACAAGACTATTCTTTTCCTCATCTACATTTCCTGCGCCAAACCTTGTTGAAGATTTGGGTGAATCTCTTTTTCCGGAAATCTCATTTACTATCTAAGGCAAATGAAGTGACACAAATCTTATCCGAAAGTTCGCTTGAAAGTTAAAATTTTATAAGGCACTACTTAGGGACTTTTGTTGTAGTGGTGAGGTGATAATACTAGTAATAATGGAAATGGAAATGGAATGAAATAGTAATTCTTATTGCCTGAATTATGGAATTTTGAATAATGATTATTCAATTTGGGTGATTAGGCATCGTTTATTTCGCGGATTTGAATTTTTAATTCGAGTTGAAATGTGACATTTTTTTAGAGCTTTTCACTATAGCAGAAAAAGTTAAATGTGACATTTTCTGAGAGCTTTTTACTGTAGAAACTTAAAACTGAAAACTCAAATCAGTAAAATGAACGAGGCCTTAATCTTGACGTGTGGCCCACAAATATTCATTCCCTAAGCGCTGCTCACTTTCTTTACCACCCCTTGAATTTCTTCCACCCAAATCTTTAATCTCAATACAGGAACTACTATGTTTGTCACTTCACTATTAGTCAAACAATAGTATTATAAAGCTCTGATTTTTAAACTTATTTTTCTATGTCATTTTTTAAGACTTGTTCTTTTAGAGTTTAACTTGAGTATAATTCTTGAGTTAAATTTTAGTTATAACTTGAGTTGAACTTGTAACTTGAGTTTGTGTTTGATTGTGTACATTTGAATTATGGTTTGAGATAAGAATATTTTTGAGTTTATGTTTGAGTGAGTCAAAACTTGAATTTGTATTTAGATAGTATTTTAATAAAAACTCAATGCTGATGAAAAATTTTAATAGGGTATATGGGTCAGGTTTTATTCATCTTTTTGTTGTTAACGCATAGAAAAAAAATCATCTCAATTAGAATTAAAACGAAAAAATTAGTATTTTTAAAAATAGAAAAAATAATGTTCATTAATTTGAGTTTAAGTTTCTGAACTCGAGTTAAAGGGGAAACTTGAACTCGAGTTGTAGTCTTAAACTCGAGTTTAAACTCGAGTTTAAACTTAAAAGAACATGAACTCAAATAAAGTTGTAACTCAAGTTGCATATTTTTAAATTTTTCACTCAAAAGAACAAGCCTAGAGGTTTTGATCCCTAACCTTAAAATTGAAGACCAACTTTTGAAACATAAAGAAATTAATGACGTCTTCTGATAATTTAAAATTAGAAAAGAAAGCAAGAGCGCGATGCAAATTATCTTAATTTTTTAGAGCTTTCAAAAACAATAAGAGAATATTTTGCTTTTAATGTTACCCGTTTCCATAAAATTTCTATTACAATGGGCATATATATTATCTGTCAAATTTTAAATGTTCAATTTCAAGGCTACACCAAAAGTGCAAAAGAAAAAAAAAAATCAGAACCAATTGGCCTTGAAAAAAAAAAAAGTAACACTAAAAGTTAAAACTCCTTTTTTTTTTTTTTACGAATGAATTCACACAGTACGAATAAAAACGCTTATGTTGCCACCATATTATGAACCACTGTGAGTTAATAGAGAAATCATAGGTACACGAAAATACAACTCTCACAGGATATCTTGTTGTATGCGCACTCCAAATACATTTGATATGACATACCAAAAGGGGGGGGGGGAAAGTAAAGAAAGAAAGAAAGAAAAATTTACTTTACATATCGAAATTACATTTCTTTCAACCAAAACCAGCAAAAAACCTCATCAACTAGTTAATGTACCTTGTGTGGTTAGTGAACCCGTAAAAAGATGTGACAATTTGACTAGTTCTTGTCTTCGGTTTCTATTGGAGGCTGCGGGTGCAGCTATATTTGATATAGGGGATTAAAACTCTTTTGATTGCATTTCACTTCTTACTCTGCGAAATAGTAACCAATACAACATGTGTATGTGTGCAAGAACAATGCAATTGATAAAACCCCTCATCAACTTACACTGCAAATACGGGTGTGCTGCTTTCCCAAACCGTGTATGAATGAATCTTCATCTCTTATCTACATCATAATTTTTCTTCAAACAACCGAGGTGCTTGAACGAGCTATCCTCTGAGCTTCTTCCAAGTCCTTCAGAAACCTACAAATCCATGGCAAATAAATTTTGAACAATGTGTAAGCTGTGATGAATACAAAACGGTTACATTTTCTTCAACTGTCTACAATGCCACCAAAATCAATAAACTGACGAACTTGTCCGATAAGAATGCCTCTTCACTACTTTTAGAACTCCATCTCTGTCCTTTTAGGATGCAAATGTATATACTATATGGCCATGTTTGATAGCTTGCATTGTACAAAGTGTATTGTATTGTATTGTCATAATACAATATGGTGTCTGGTGCCACATTGACATATTATATAGGGGATCAAAATGTAATTTTTCAAAAATTAAGGAGTCAATATGTAAATTTTCAAAGTTTTTGGGATAATAATGTATTTTTTAACACTTTTGGGCTTAAAATATAATTCTATAAACTTTAAGAGGCCAACATATAATTTAAAAAAAAAGACAGGGACAAACTAAAATTTTGAAAAATTAAAGGTCAATATGCAATTTTTATTAAAAACATATAGATTTGCATTGTAACCTCTCATTTTTTAGACAACTACAAGTTCCGGCCCAACCCTGTACCGACCAGATCCCAATCAGACATGAACAATGAACCCGCTATAAAATAATACAATACACTCAATATACCAAAAATGAGTTGTCTTCTATAATAATTTATGATCCGTATTAACTTTATACAACATAATGGTCATACCAAACATTGTATAACTATATTATTATATAATATGATGCTCTAATACGAAGCAAAAACATGGCCTATATGTTTTAACACTCGCTGCCTACTAAGTGCAAACTTCTATTCTCTGGCCCAGCTTATGAGAAGGCTTCATTGTAAACGTTTTTGAAATTTGTTCAAGAACCAAGGTTACTATATGCATATGCAGATGCTGAGGCAAACTGGAGATGCATAAAAGTTCAGCCAAAGATAAAAGGGCAAACACAATTTGAGTTTCGTTGTGATAGGAAAGAGGACTAGTTAAACTAGCTACAAGTAATTTCAATGAATATAATATTGACCACTGAACCCATACCTCTTGGAATTGAGAACCACAGAACCGCCAAGTACAAAACGAGTTCCAGAATTGGTGGCATTTTGTAAAGCAACACAACGAGATTCCTCGTATGTTGTCCCACCAACAATGAAAATGACCACTTCCTGCGGCCTGCTTAAAAGAGCACACATCGTGTCCAAGGTTCAAATACACCGACAATAGTAAAGACCACACTTTTCGATCTTCTTTTTTTAAAAAACAATTAGCATAATTCCTATGATAAAGTTTGTCATTGCCATACAAGATAAATGATGAGCAATTTTGTTTACCTCAGAAGCATCTGGTAGAAAAGCAATACAACATTTTTCATATAGAAATCATTCATTCCACTCACAGAATTGCAGGTAGGATAGAGAGAAAAATCACACAACATTCATCTTCAAAAGAAAAGTCGGTACAACGACAAACCTGCCCTGTTGAAAATGATTTCCAATACATGGATAATCCACATCTCTCAGCCGTCCTTTAGTAATGCTTTCCATTGTTTGAAATAGGAGAGGTTGGTGTTGTGTGTAGACATTCTCAACCCCCTAGAATTCAAGTCCAACAACAATCCATAAGCATCTAAAATCAAAACCAAAAGCAGAAAGTATAATTTTCTTGGACATACCTTGAGTCCACGAGCCATATTACGAGCAATATTCAGAAAATCACGATTTCCATAAAGATCCCCAGTTCGTTTATCAACACCTGCTTGCTTCAAGAGGAACTGGACAAGCTGTAAACCACAACAGTCATTTCAGCAAAAATCACTGCATTTCTCATAAGACTAGTTTGCTTCTCTAATTGAGCTCTAGAAACGGGTTCAGTCTCCAAGAAACCCATATAAGTAAAAGGACCCAGAATTGTTGCTAGCATAATTATATTACCCCGGGTTTGTACTTGGGAGACCGAGAAGCCAATTTATTGAAAAGCTGCATCAGTTGAACAGGACTCTCCTTCTCATAGCGCAATGCATACAGCATCACAAGGCGCAAGCGATCGATATCAGATATATTTTCATTGTTCAAAAGATTTGTCACTGCCTACAAATAACATTTGGGAAGAAGAAAGGTCAATGCTCCATACTCATTCTGCTACCTTCTTATTTAAGTTTTCATGATACCACAGAACTTCACAGTGCTCATGTTAAAGTCAGTTTATACCAGTGGTAGAATAGTAATATTCTGAAGTTTGAAACAATAAATAGGCTTGTTAAGATGTATTCCACAGACAAGAAAGTGGAGAATAGCATAGTAGATGCAACATGGATTGTATTATCCAACATGCTCCCTTGAACATTATGTTACATTGTACTGTACACAACAATCCAATTTTAATGCTTCAAGCTTCAAAGATTTGGAGTCCTCAGGTCTGTTTTCTTCCAAATCTTTGTTTTCCAAATTCGTAGAACTCCCTAATGATTCTAATTTTTGTTCGTTTTCTTTTATTTAGAAAGCTCACTTTCCTTATAAAGATTGCAGCAAAGGAGACCTCTTTTGTCCATGTTTCAAGGTTGGTGTTTTCTTTGTAGATTGTGGCTGAGAATACAAATGAAGTTTTGTTTCTTCTCATAAACAAAACAAAAACCAAAAAGAGAAGAAAAAGAAAAAGAAAAACAGCTAACATTCGAACAGAACCTACAAAAACTTATTTTACATGTAGGGCTCGGGTAGTTATTCTTTCAACGCTACTTTATTTCTTTAGTAACACTGAGAGGGAGAAGCAAGTTGTCACTACCAGAAAGATGAAGATTTTTGAACTTATGAAAACATACCTATTCAAAACAGAAAAAAAAAAAAAAAAAAAAGGAGCATGTTTAGTGCATGCAAACCGTCATGTGTGTTGATGAACCAGATTGGTGTGAAGAAATGCCTTAAATGGGAATGCATTACAATTTCACAAGCCATTTTTAGTGTATGCAAACCAAGGAAATGGCATAAAAAGAGCACGTTTACGACATAAAGTTCTTCTAATTATACATTTGTTTCATACTAGAAATGTTATTCGATGATAGAAAGGAGGCAAAGAAGATAAAAAAGCAGAAGCAAAGTAGTTTCAGATATTAGAAAATCAACTGCTACATATGATGCCAAAGCAAACATAATGTAAAGGGAAAAAAATGAAAAGAATCTTTTACAGTACCTCAAAAGCTGCCACTTGTCCCCCATTACAAGCCAATTCCTGTTCCGTTTGTGAAACTAACATGAGTTTTCTCTCTTCAACTATTTTACTCATTTCTGTGACCAATGTCACATGCTTTGAAATATTGCCATGCATTTTCCTGTACTCAGGGTAGTTGTCAACAAATTTTGCCATGTCCTCTGCCAAAAGCTCAAGTATTTAAAGATTAAATACAATTCAATGATTCACACTCTCGTGCTATTAGTTAGAAGTCACAGCACCTAATAAATTGTGAATTTTCAAAACTTTCTTATACAGACCTATTGTCTGGATGTTCTGGTTGCTTTTTGCAGCTTGTTGAAATTCATCCACCAACCGTTTGATGTTCATTCCAATATCTCCAAAGTTCTCATACATGTTAGACTTGAAAAATGAATCTTGTTCTGATGAGAGCACAACCTCCTTTAAGCACAAAAAGAGAAAAGAAAATGCATTAGTAAATCAAATCACAAGAGATATATATGGTCCGAAGGAATTCTAATGCTAAACCTCTTGATCTTTCGGAAATTTCCCCAAGCTTCTTAAGTCCACTTTATTATCTTGAATGCCAATCAATTCATGAACCATGGCCTACAACATATAGCAGAATAAATGAGCTTGACATGATATTCATAAAGTCAGTCATCAGATTTTTTGGTAGGAAAAAAAAAAGAGAAAAAAAAAATCCTCATAAATGTGCCTGTGGTGAAACAGTAATCATTATCAGAATTACCTGATAAGTCCACTGATTCAGCAATGGAGTTACAGGGTCATCGCTCCTATCAAGAACCAGTAACAATGGAGAAATTTCTGTCCTTCTGAAATCAAAAAGACCACTTTCCTGCTGGTACATTAGCTTCTGTTACATCCCAAAATAAATTATCAGTTTTGTAATGCCCCTAAAAGTTCACGGAAAGATTCCACAGGCTATCAAGTTGCATTAAGAGGCATTATCATATACAAAACACAATAAAAATTCTATCCAGACTCTGGAGAAGTATGTATAAAAATATGTACCCTTAACACAAAAAACTCATGTCCAAATCAGTTTAAAACATTTATAAAAAAGTTAATATGTGAACAGTTTGTATCTTCTTTATGCTTTTCAAGGACTCCCAGTCCATCTCTTTGTAAATTTTACTCCATTGATATATCAATGAAAATTGTCATTTCTTATTAAAAGTAAATAAATAGATAAACATGTTGATATGTCGATCTAAAAGTCTCGCATTTCACAATTATACTTACGGATGTTTCCTGTGCAATTCGCTTGGCAACATCAGATGTCCTTTGATATCGAATAATAGGTCTTCGTTTCATTGCCAGAAAAACAGCTGCAATACCATCAACAACTCGGTCACAGAAATGCTGCAAATTTCCAGGATCTACAACTGCTGGGAGCATATAGGTGTGATTTGACGGAATATTCAGAGTGAAATGGTAAGGATCAACAGCAACAAAATCAGCATAGAACTCCTGCATATCAGAAGAACCATAATTGTGCAGAACATCAACATTGAAAACATCAAACTATAAATATGAGGTGATATGAACTAATCTACATCGTTACCTTAAAGTTATTAAGTTCAAACTAATATTTGAAATTAACTTAAATAAAATCTGTAGTGAAACAAAAAAAAACAAAAAGAGAGACAATCACGACTAACTATGACTATATGAATAATCCGATATAACTTTAAGTATTAAGCTTTAGTGCATATCATATTGAATATTATCTAGTCATGAAACAGGGAAAAAAAAAAGATAATAAAGACTCAGTTTAAAGAAGAAACAGTTCCCAGAATTTATGATACTATATTTCGGTGCCAGACTTCTTTCCTCTCTCCGGTTTTTTTTTTTTTTTTTTTCTCTACAGTCACAATGTTAGATTCAGACCTCTGTAATAATAAAATTTCAAGCAAATCAGAACTAGACATAAAGAATCCAGAAGTACAGCAACTAAACTGCCAAATAGCCAACAAGGAGTTACCTGAACTTGCTGGACAACTTCTAGTTCATCTGAATCAGCCAAGATATGAATTTGAGTATCCTTCAATATGTTGGAGAAAACTGTAAATTCAATATGTGATAAGAAGGGGATTCAAGCAATAAGTAACTTTTGCCAACAAAAGTCCTAAATGGTGAGGACAACTTCAAGATAATATTACGCATCTACATTCTTAGTTCCAAGCAAAACTAGAAACTCACATAGGTGGTACTCTCCAAATCTAGGGCTAGCCAACTGACGCCGCAGATGCTGGATGTTCTCTGAGGTGGGTTGAAGGAAGTAAACAGCTTTGAGATGGGACATCGACTCCCTCGATAATGAAGTCGATTCTATTAATTCTACCAAGAAGACCTCTTTCTGAAGAAGCTCTGACTGTGAATACACAACACTCACTGTACTGACCTGCATCTCAATAATAAGATATCGTTTTCAATCATCGAAACCAAAATTCTCCAACTACCTACCTTATTGACACAATTCAATCCTACAATGCTAAAATATGTACAAAACATAAGATTTACCATTTTATTCTAAAAACTGAGCCACTAAGCAACATAAGCATAGCATGCAACCGCTGACTCTTCATGATTCCAATTTACATCGTCGTTCACACTATTTCGTTTTGTTGACCATAAACAAAACATACGAGACCATTCTCACATTAGCTAGTCCTCATCCCGTAAAAAGAGAAACTAAACAGCAAACCCCAAGTTAACATATAGAAATTTCAATTTTACGAAACAAGTAAATCTACCACCGCTGGTGGTGGGGTGTGGCAAGGATGTCTGCCCTGAGTTTTCCTCATTCACAGCCCAAGGTTCAAATCCCTATGCCCACACAAAAAGAGTTCCAACCTTAAAAGTGGCAATGGTCAACTATGGTGGGTATCAAGGGCCAGTGGTGGACAGGTGAAACTTGGGTTGTTAACGGGTGGAGAATAGGCTTAGGCCCGACGAAACTATTGCGTCGGTGGGACCAGTTGATTAGTGCTGGTTGGGGTGGGAGGACACTAACAATCCCCTTTCTTGATTAGCCGCCCCCCCCCCCCAAAAAAAAAAAGGCAAATCTAAACCCTAACTAACTCACATTCATTGAATCAAATTGAGAAATGTCAATAAACTTTTAAACAACTCCGCAGAGATTAACAAGGACTAATTTCAAATAATTATTAAAGTTAACCCAAGAAGTATATTCTCCACTTAATTGCTCAGAATTCACAACGAAATAAACAGATGTTGAAAATCTGAACTCGCATTGCTCCTAACTGAACTCTGAACCCCATGTTGTTTCTTAGACATTTATAATTCAACAAAAACATCAGAGCCTAAATACCACCAAATTGACCAGACAAAACTGATAAAAGTACAGAAATTTCAGATTTCTCAGACGAGAATGTATTCCACGAGTTTCCCGGTAACCAAACAGGTACTAGCTTCAATCGTCATCACAAAAATGAATTGATTGCCAAAAAAAATAAAGAAATGGAAATGAAAAAGGATGGTATGAATATGATCGTACGGTATGAGAATCGAGAATGAGAACTTTCATGCCGGAGATGTCCTGAAGCATCCGATTGACGTAATCGCGCGCGGCCGAAACCAGCACCATTTTTTCCGATCTAAGATTTGCGAAGAACTTTTTGCAGTGGTTGTGGAATTTCAAGAAGTAAGCGTCGGAAAAGAATTAACGGAGACGGACACAGATTCAGAATCTAAGATCTGCTAACGACGACGGAATAAGCAAGAAAGGACCTAGCAACGTCGTCTCGACGTATAAGAACTCTTTCACGAATTATGGCTTGGTAGTGGTATCTGAAAAAAAGTAGATATTATAAAAAATAGTTGAATATTTAGTAAATTATAATTATAATAGTTACGTTAGTTTTAAAATTAATATAATAGTATTTAATAAATTATAAAGTTAAATTGTTGTTGATAGTTAAAAATTAAGATAATATTATATTATACTATAATAATATATATAATTATAATATAATATATATTTATTATTATATTAATATAATAAAAAAATGTTATTATATAATATATTATATAATTATGATATATAATATAAT